TCAGTACTTTAATTTTTTTTTTGCATCACAGTAAGATCTCTTTCTAATGAGTCTATTTGTTCTTTGGAATTGTTATTTCCCCTGAGTAAATTTAGTTTTCTATTTTAGATTCTAAGTGTGTCCTAATGCTATTTATGTTGCCTGCTATTTGAATTGATTTCTGTTTGATATCTTGTACTAAATATTCGAATAATGTCTTCTGTTCCTACAATGTCAAATATGTCTTCTACCAAATCAAACTCACCAGCTAAGATAATGTTATGTTGTTATATTTACTTGTCAGTAGATTTTAAGGTTTTGGAAGATATATTTGTCTTTAGGTCCTAGTACGTTGACGATACTGAGTTTGTTTTCGTGTCCGTCAATAGTCCCTATTGATAATTTACCACCCGAGTTAGCATGCTTGTCTGTTATGTTAAACCTGTTGGATGTGCTAAAAATTGACGCTCCGCTACCGGTGATGCGTGCACTGTAACTGTGATGTGCTTAACTTATGCCTCGGCTATGTGTAAAATTGTCTGCTGTGTTTTTATTTTTGAAATTTGTTTCCTGCAGTAGAATGATGTCAGGTTAATGTTTGTAAATTAATTGTCTTATGTACTTGTCTTTGTGCTTTGGACGTTGAAGGTTGTAAGAGTGAGACATTTACTTACACTGTTTTTAAACCTGGTCCACCTTTGTGGATTATTTTCCTTTTGTTAGAAGTTATGTCTTGTCTACGCCACTGACTGGGCGTCAGTACGATGGATATATTATGTAAGCATGTTATATGAACGTCAATATAGTTGATATATAGATGTGAACATTTGTTATTATTTTTTATAAACTGTTTTCATAATGGTGAAGGATATTGAATATTGACTTATTTTGTAACATGTTACTACAATTAAAACGAAGTTACGTATCTACACATCTTTACAGCTGTTATAAAATTAGTTATTAAAACAGATAGACACCATTGTTTATCTGAAACATTAGCTACATTCGCAGACGTTTTTATCCCACCCATTCCTATCATAACCCACAATACAAAGCAATATTTCAAGTCCAACTGAGTTAAAAAGTACTGGTCTGTACCAAACTTATTAACAAACATATACAGTATGAGTTAGCAATCGACGGCTTACGCTACTTACCTTTATGAAAACTTGGCTAGATAGAAATGAAAACTCTCTACAACACACTCAAATACTGGCAAACATTGACTATCATTTACAAATCTACACACAGCGCCTGCCAATGCTAACATGAAAAGGTTTATTCTATGTGGTGTTATATAAATCTTGAATAAATCAATAACTTAAGAACAACACGCCATATCGAGGGAGGGTAGAAAAGAAAATTTACATTTGAATTAGCCGCCTAGCACAAAAAAAAGTGTCAGTGAAAAATCACTTTTAAAATATTGCTCTCTTGGTTATTAGCGCAATCGTGTTGAAAATTAACAGGGAGACGTGAAGTAAACTTAATCACATTTGTCTACAATAGCAAGGTTGTCGTTGTCTTAAATTAAATAGACACCACGGATAGAATTTTTTTTATTTAATACATTTCTGAGTGTTTAATAAATTTGACTAATAAAATACGCGTTGATTTATGTAGTAAGTTTTAGATAGATTTTTCTATGTAAGCAGAAAATATGTAGGGCCTAAACAACAGGTTATGACTTAATGACTATTAAGTCTTACGCATCCTATAAATCGATTGTTATTCTCAGAACAACTATGGGGTCATCCATAAATGACGTCACGCTTTTTTGACGATTTTTACCTCCCCCCCCCCTCTCCCCTCCGTCACATGTCGCAACAAAAAGTCAGACCCCCGCCCCAAAAAATGACGTCACACCTTAACCTACAACCCTCCTCAAAATTGCAGTTGACATTTTTTTTAAACATTGATATTTTTCTAAAATCTTGTCTGAACTCTGTCAAAATAGAATATTTTAATCAATTCCTATTACAATTTATGAAAACAGTTTTCTAAAACGCGAAATAACGCCTAAAATTCGTTTTCTAACATTGCTTTTTTATAATGCAAAAGTGTGACGTCGCACCATCTGAGCCCCCCCCCCCCCTCGCCCTTATCAGACACCGTCACAAAATTACGGACCCCCCTCCCCCTACGAGTGTGACGTCATTTATGGACGACCCCTATCATCACAACAGATTAAGTTGTGTTTGTTAGTCGGTCTTCTCACTTCAATACAATGTCTATCCCTACTTAAATTGTAGCTTACACAAGTTTATTGCCTTTTGATAATAGCCTACTACACAATCCTAGGTACAGCGCTTGTGGCTAAACACGGCTCTCCACCCCACTCCCCACCGCTGTATAGTGCGCGAAGATCCGACGAGTAATAGATTATCAATGTTCATTCAACCGTGATTAAAATATCCGTGTAGATAGGGTCAAGCACTGTATTTCCGTACAGAACGTAAGTTAATGCTTATCAGCTATCCCATCCAGTATTATAGGATATTTATTTAAACAAATAGATACATTTACATTCCAGGTTTGATTGTTATTACTAACTATATTTTTAAAGATCTGTTTCATTATTGATATACAGGGGCATTCTAAGAAGAGATGAAATTCTGTTTCCAAGTGCACATTACATAAATGACATTTAGCTTTTTGAATCCTAATAATAGGGGTTGTGTACGCTACTTCCCTGGCCTTTGGAGTTATATTTCTAAAATGTAGGTTTCTAAAAGTATCCTTTACATCAATACCCAAAAAAAATATTTGCACCAAGATATTCTATTATATAAAGGAGTTTGTAGTTTTTTAACTACATTTTTGTAGATTTGTTTACTTGTTTCTTTTAATAAATCTTTATTCCCTTGATTAAACTTTATGCATTGTGCATAAAAGGTATTTAGTTCCTGGATAATGGGGTGAGTTATTATTGAATTTGGATAATTTATTTAATTGAATTCCTATATAGTAGTGCGCTAGTGGATGGTAATGTGGTTCATTTATAACATTTGCAATGTATTTAAACGTGTCTATTTTTATTTTATATATCATGCAGGTTTATATCTCCATGTAGTTTGTTCTGTTTTGGGTATTGTGACTAATATTACTAATGGTATTTTTAATAATAAACTTTTTAAAGTATTGATTTGTTGTTTAAATCAAGGATTTATGAATAGGTTTTGTGGTGGCTGTGAATATAATTTTAGTGATGATTTCCTACGTGTAATTACTTAATAGTGTGTTTTAAGTATTGATAATGTCTTTATTTTAATAATAATCTCTCTACTATAGGCGTAAGTGGATATATTAAATTTAACATAAGAAATCATTAGAATTTGTAAAAAATTGTTTTGGGTCATTTTCAGCTATAATGATGAACTGCAGCTGGAGGTCATTGAGTTGCTAGCAAATGACCTCTTTAGGGACAAGTTCAATGAAGGGCAGGTAGGTTTTTACAAGTTTTTGCCCAAGAAAGACTTTCCTAATGTTAAAAAACAATTTGCACGAAGGTATCTTTCAATTTTTGAAAAAAAAAATACCATTGTGAGCAAACATTTTCAAAAATGAAATAAGTGAAGAACAATTTTAGGACAAACTTGTCCGATGATAATCTCAGATTACTATAGACATTAGGGACATCAAATATATAGCCAGAATTGTCTGCTATTCTGTCATCCAGGAAACAATTTCACCTATCCAACGAATACAGATGTTCATGTGTAGTATATCAATGTTTTATTAAATAATAATTGAATAAAATAATATTAAAATAAATAAGTGAAAACAGCATCCGTGTTTTGATACTTTTTTATTTGTAATGCGTTGCCAACCCCTGCAATACTATTTAATTTTAATGCAGCCCTCTGGTTGAAAAGTGTTAGTATGCCTATTTGTTTATGTATTTCTAACCTATACAATATATATATATATATATATATATATATATATATATATATATATATATATATATATATATATGTGTGTGTGTGTGTGTGTGTATAAATCAGATACATTGACGCTATAAAAATTATAATTTGATCTTAAATTGTTTTTTGGGTTGTTTATTTTTGTAGATCAATAAACACATAATAAAATGAAATTGATCCTCTTATGTTTACAATTTAACAAAATAGCTTTTTAATTTAGTTTTATTATTAATTTATAGTGATAATACTTATGAATCAATTATTTTTTTACTTCATATTCAAACACCAAGTTAATATTATAATTAAAAAAATAAATAAAAATGATTGTTTTAAAACATGTTGAATTTTCGTGACATCATGATGTGAATTAAAGGATTTTTTCTCCTTTTTACTTTCTCGTATATACGTAGTATAGAGAAAGTATTGTAATCGTGCAAAAAAAAAAAAATCGAGATTTTTACAAATCTCGACGTTTTACACCTCACTGATACGGAAAAACATAATTTTGCAATCTTGTCCGTATGTCTGTGTGTGTGTGTGTCTGTCCGTGTGTGTGTCTGTCCGTGTGTAAACACGATAACTTGAGTACCGTTACAGCTAGGTTGATGAAATTTCATATATAAGTATTTTATCAAAATCGTAGATCCGTATCAACGTTTGAGCGATTTTCGATAACCGGAAGTGGTACTTTTCCTACTTTGAATTTTTTAAAAGCCTATAACTTGAGTAATATTTCAGATAGATAAATGAAATTTCACATGTAAGTAAAAGATCTAATTCTCTACCTTCTGTTAAATTTTGAGTAATTTCCGTTGACTGGAAGTAGTAATTTACGCTACTTCCGATTTCTCAAAAAACTAATGTAAATTTTAAAAGTACTAATAATATTGCGCACTATTATGCGCTTTTTTTATTTGCGTTCACTTGGTGTGCAATTAATTTGTCTACGAGATTTTATTCTATTTTTAAAACTTTAAGTATTTAAAATGGATTAAAAATCATGTCTATAGCCCGAGTTTCCATCCCCTGTTATTTTATATAAGAATATTCGAGAAAGTTTAGGGGAGATCACTCCCGGTTTATTTGTTTATAAGATCAATCAGAATTAGTCTTGGTTGAAGCAGATGCTGGTGGATACCTGTTCACAATTGTAATAAATTAAATTAGTTATATTAGATAAAAATTTAATAAGACAGTTCTGTATTTTTCAAAACTATATTTCTTTTAAATTTTAGCTTTCTATGTTTAAATAGAATAATTTATGTATGTTATTTTCTATTATTCTTATTCTTATATTATTCTTATTATTTTACATTATTCTTTATTATAATATGTAAAAATGTAGTTGTATATAATTAGGTTATAATTTAAATAAATTTGTACTGTATTTAGATATATTAATGGTTATGTTACCAAAACATAGTTTCACATTTAAACAACTTAACCAAACACAATATCAGACTTAATTCCACTCACTCATTGGATATATCATGATACATCAGGTCAGACCTCAGAGATTCCTTTTTGTTTATCACTATTCTGCCTGATTTCAACCTTCGGGTGTATCTACAAACTAAAAGTCCTAAAACAACACACAACACAGCAAACAGAGCTAAGCCAATAGCTAATCCGAGGATTAGTTTAGTATAATCTGTAAACAATAACAAAAGAAAATAGATTAGGTTATAGCAGGGTAAGTGGAAACATAAAGTTTTAATCTAGATGTAGCCTACATTTTTGGTCCTATAATTATTTAAAGAAATCTCCCTTTTTTAAACATAGTTTTACAGATTATAAAACACCTTACCTCACTTTAAAAAAAATATTACTTTAAATATTAACCTTACAAAAGTTATTTTGTAAATTTAGTTGGACTGTAGGTACTATAGTATTTTGTTCTTAACTTTAGCACAGTCATCTTACATCTAAAATGACAATTAAAGTTGAAGAAATTAATTTTTATGATAAGTGAATAGCCCATCTGAGTTAACTAATAGTCAGACAGTTACCTTCAGCTGTAGATCTGAAACAAAGAGAAAAATGTAAATGATTCATTTGATTGTGAAAGTTTGTTATTAAAAGAAAAATTACATGAAGCCCTTTTTAAACAACATTTATAGTCTGTCAGTATAAAAATAGCAAAATACACCAAGTCCACACAAACCAGCTCCAAATAAATTATTCAATTCATTACAGGAAATAAGATTTTTAACATGAAAAATCTTACCTACAAACTGCTTCATTGTTCTCTATTGAACATTCTTCATTTTGTTTACAAGGTTTTACTTTGTCTCTTGTTTCACATGTTAAGATTGGCACTGTAGGTAAAAAGATTATTCTGTTGTAGGAAATCTTTAATACACACATGACTAAATGTATAAGACGGGTAGGCCAAGAATGCATTGGAAGTGATCTATCCAAAAGGATTTATAACCAATAAACTCAGGATTTCAAAGGGAACAAAGAAGGAAGGTATAATAAAAAAAGAGATTCAATAATTGAAAAATAAAATAATTATCTACCCTGTCTAGCATTCATAGACAATTTTAATATTGCAAATCCATCTGATTACAATATTCATATATCACACTTTTATCCTGAGAAAGACAATTTTGTGTTTTTACTCATTGTGCTGACTACCTTATTTATTATGCTGAGTCATTAAACTAAGGTAGAAATATTTAGGTGTAAGTAATTTTCTTTTATAACTTGACCATAACAATTTTATAAAACTTTGTAGTTATCTATATACCAACAAGTATAATGAGAGCAAGCTTTTAGAATGAAATTATGTTGATTAAACATAATAAGATGCATTTTTAATACAATTTTCTTAGGTATAAATTAATCAATAGCCCCTGTCTTGATGAAACAAGATTTTTGGAGAAAAAATAACATATAATTAGTTTTTGAAAAAGCAATTAAAAATATTCTTAAAAACTGACCAGGAATGTTGTCAATAGTTGAATGAAGTAGATAAATTATCTCGCCATTAATAGTGATGCCATACTCCATGACAGACTGTAGGGCTGTTTCAAGCCAAAAACCTGGGATATTGTCTTCAGGTCTTAACAATTTTACATCAGCATCAACAATTAAGCTGCCTCTTCTGTGTGGTAGATTAATAAAAAAAACCAATTGACTATTATGTAAAATAGGTAAACTATTAGGAGGGATAGAACTAGAAACAGTTCCCCAAAGTAATTGAAAAAGAATAAAGCACTGGAAGGGGTACATCCTCCATATGAATCCAGATGACATGACAGGAATGGCACCAAACTGGACACATCAAGAAAAAAAAAAGCAGGGAAGGCCAAGGGTGTCATGAAGCAGTTGAGAGAGAGGCAGGACTGTCTTGAGGAACTGCCAGGGAAATGGTTGTTGGCGTTCTATGGTGGCCCCGTGTGTATCGGACACAATAAGGAAAAAAAAATGATTATGTAAAATAGAATATTTTATTTTTGAGAAAAATTCAAACTCCATAAAAAGTATAAATATTTAAAACATAGAATAGACAAATGATAGAAACAATATTAAGCCACATAATACTAACCTCAAGCTGGTCACATTAAAGTAAAATACAACAGAACTGCCCTGTTCTAAAATATTCAGCATCTATAAAATTAAAGTAACAATACATTTTAAAAACATGCTTGAGTACAAAATCTGTAGGCTTATTTGACAAATGTTTGCTTTTCTGACTGTTAAAAATATTTTTTGATTTGGCTAGTTCATAAAGACATGGTAATATAATTTACTGTTAAAAGCAGCACAAATGATAACCGATGTGCAAAGTTAATTTAATTGCAAAATTTAATCTTTACAGTCAAAAATTTACAAAAAATGATTTTAATATATTTACTTCAGTTTCAACATTATCTTTTAGTTTTTTGTAGTCATCTGAGTTTTTGTCTTGAAGATCTACATTGGTCACATCATATTTGAAAGTCATGGTCACTTCATGCTTTATAATTTCTGTCACATTTAAAACAATTGTTCAAATTTTATTTTATGTGTTTTATAATATTATTAACATAGATTAGTGTCAGAAATTACTATATGCCTGATGAACAAGTAATAATTGAAGTTTAAACCTTAAAAATTAATTAGTGCAATTAGAAATCTTATTAAATTTTAGTCTGAAAAAATGAGTATAGCGTGTTTATTTAGGAAATGAGGTGAAACGTTTATTTTTATTACTGGTACATCATTTAGTACTTTTCCTCCACAGTTTTTAAAATTTAGAAGCTTTATTTTTGCATTTATCTCTTCTTCTTAAAACACAAGCATGACAAAAATAACCATGGACTGGAAATTGTTTGTACCTTGGCAAGAGGTCTGATTATTGTCGACATAGCCATCATCACAAGAACAAACATGGTCTCCTGGTGTGTTGATACAATGTGAGTTCTCATGGCAGACACCAGAGAATTCACACTCATCAATGTCTTCTTCACACCTGCTGCCATTCCACCCACTCTTACACTGGCAGTCGCCAGATTTTTTATCACAAAATCGGGTGTTAGATGTGACACAGTTGCATGTGTTGGTGCACCCTATCCCCCAAGTGCCCTCATTACATGCTGTGAAATAAAGTAATAAACTTTGTCTTGAAAAATTAAGTTTGCCATTCAATTAACATTATTTTAACTTAGATAAATTAAAGATGACATTATGCGTGTGGCAAGTAAAATAAATATCTTTATAACCACTGAACAACTGGATGATTAACAGAATTCACTTAATTAATTGAGCCTACTTAATTCAATAAATGTAGACTGCCATAAAAAAGATGTGGTAATACTGGCAAAATTGCCTCTAAACCAGTCGAATGTTTAAATATGTATGCCTAACTTTTGCTTAACTGAGTAATTAGGAAAGTAGTAGCATCATAATTTCATAATTCCTTGCAGAGATCTACTTCAGAACAATATTTTTACATACAAATAAATACTTTTACAGAACAAATTATAGAAATATATCAAAAACATCATAACAATAATTCAATAGATATTTTGATGCTTATTGTTTTCAATGTAGTTCAGTGGTTAAAAATGTTTTGTTGAAAATTTCAATGACTGACCTCTACATGTGAGTCCATCTTGATGAATGAAAAAACCAGATAGACAGGAACATATGTAGCTTCCATTTGTGTTGATACAAGTCTGCTCACATCTGGATAATCCTAGGTCACACTCATTTATATCTGTAAGACAAAATAGTGTTTAAAAAAATTAATAACTAACAACCAATTTTCATCTTAAACAAATAATTACATACGGTAACCAAGTTAATTTGTTTTACATCTATAACATTTAACACAATCTAGAAATTTATTTATTACATTTGATTGAAGGCCTATTTCAAAGTATTGAAATGTGAAGGCAAAAGTTTTGTTGAATAACAATTTTAAAAATAATAAAAGATTTAAAACAAATAAAGTGATCCTACCTTTGCACTCCTGTGTTGCTGTATCAAATGTGTACCCAGCATAACATGAACAGGTAAACCCTCCTTCTATATTGGTACACACCTGACTACAATTGTTGGTTGACATCATCTCACATTCATTCACGTCTGGACAGAAAAGTAATCAAGTCACCTAAGTATAACTGTACTAGCACAACCAAAATATAATCAAAACTGAGGGGTTATTTTTTTTTTAAATTTTAAGTTCTGACCTTTACATGTGAGTCCATCTTGCTGGAGGTACAGACCAGATAGACAGGAACATCTGTAGCTTCCTTCTGTGTTGATACAAGTCTGTTCACACTGGGATATTTTTTGGTCACACTCATTTTTGTCTGTAAGACAAAATAGTATTTATAAAAATTTAGTTTGGGAAATCAATTTCCATCTTAGACCAATATTTACTTCTTAGCATTCAATAGTTTACCAGGTAAAGATATTTTATATCTATAAAAAATTAATCAAATCCATTAATTTATTAGCCTGCCTTTGGTTCCAGGACTAATTCTAAGAATAAAAATAATAAAAATTATGAATACAATTATTATATTTAAAAACATCATATAGATTATAAAAGATTTGAAACAAATAAAGTAATTCTACCTTTGCACACCTGTGTTGCTGTATCATATGTGTACCCAGCATAACATGAACAGGTAAACCCTCCTTCTATATTGGTACACACCTGACTACAATTGTTGGTTGACACCATCTCACATTCATTCATGTCTGAATGGAGAAATAATATATTCAGCCTTACTTAAATTAAAATCATCAACTTAAATTATTTTTATCAAATATAATCTTGTTGAAAAACTTAAGTTACCTTGACAATTTCCATCTGTTCTGATGTAGCCATTTTGACACTCACAGGTCGCTGATCCAGGCAGATTAACACATTTTTCTTTAGCTTCACAAGTTAAATTTCCACTGCTACATTCATCAATGTCAACAGTGCAGTATTTTCCTATCAGAAAGAGTTATTTTAATTTGGTGATAGAAAATAGAAGTATTAAATACCATTAGAAATTGATTTGGTAATTAAATTAAAGAGTAATAACAAAATTTAAACTTGTGCCCTACCTGTGTACCCCTGTTTACAGACACAACCAACTTTTGCATCACAGTGATCTGTCCCTGACCCACAGCGACAAGACTGAGAACATTGAATGCCCCAGGTTTCTCCACTACAGGCTAAAAATGTAAACATTTTGCAATGGAAAATTTTTTTTTTAAATTTTTATGCTTAGTTATTATAAATCACACTCTTTCACTATAGGCCAACTTGTTAAAAAAATTAGCACCAAATGCCTACTAATACATTGGAATGTTTATCCTCACCAATACAAGAGCGGCCATCATTGTCCAGCTTGAATCCTGCCTGGCAAGAACATGTGTAGCTGCCATTAGTGTTTACACATCCATCTTTGTTTGAACAGTGGTTGTATTCATCTGACTCACATTCATTGATGTCTGAGAAATAACATAGTTTTACCACATAGCAATAAAAGGAATTGATTTTTAATTAGGCTATATCAAGTTGATTTTAAATAATAGCAGGAATCAATATGAGTTCAAAAGCCTATTTAAGGATATTAATTGTAAAAAAGTATAAGATAGTCATTTTAGGATAATAATAAAAAATAAGGCAAATTCTATATTCAGCTAGAACTCACACTAGTAGATAGCCGTATTTCACTATTTCTACTTTCTATTAGGTTGTAGTTATAGTTATTAATAGAAAGACAAAAGTACAAGTGAGATTTGTGGTTCTTAAACTATTAGCTACATTCTTTAAATATTACCAATTATTGTTTATAACTTTTTAAAACTTCCTATATGGAAAGTAGTAAAGTGATTTAGCATTTAACATCTTTTAAGTGCTAAATCCCTTTTAAGTAATTTATTAAAACAAAGACACTAAAATAACATGAATGGTCATGTAGCAATGTATCTTGAATCTATAATTTATGTCCTTACCTTCACAATTATCTGGTCCAGTAAGTCTGTATCCTCTAGGACAGTAGCAGAAAGGTTTGTTATCTACATCCACAGCACAGCCATAGCTACAGTTTAGGTGAAATTCTTGACATGGGTCTCTCACTAAGATATTGATAACATTCACACATTTTAAAAAGTTATACAATTAGTACAATAATAGTTATAAATTTACTTTAAATACCACAAGGTATGCTTTGAAACAAATAGATTAGACTGACTACATTACTTAGCTGCTTTTTGTATATTATTGTCCATTCATGTTACCTTATCCTTGTTAAAAACAAAAACCCTAAAATACATTTTGAATAATAAAATTGTAAGATAAAGAAAATGCAATATAAATTGTTGTCACATAAACATCTTTCATTTAGACTACTTGTGAACCCAATGTTATGAGAAAAGGCTAATTATAATAAGGACAGCATAAAAATTATATGATGATAAAAACTATGTAGTCAGATAGCTATTTACCTTTTATACATGACAAGCGGTCATCTGCCAATGTGTAGCCTTGTTGACATAAACAATTATAAGACCCAGGTTTGTTTTCACACACCTGTTCACATTCATCAGCTTTGGTCAAACATTCATCAATATCTGAAACAATAGAGGGCATGTGACATTGCTCATACACTCAACAACATTTGAAACAGTAGAGGTCATGTGACATTGATGAAACACTCATCAATATCTGAAAATGAACCAACTAAAATAAGTAGACTATTGATAGATATTAAAGTTGATTATGTTTAAATTTTTTGAGCAATAAAAGATTCAGTAATATTAAGTTCAAGAAAATAATATACCTTGACAAATTGCTAGAGAATTTCTGGCAAATCCTTTCTTGCACTCGCATCTGTAACTACCAACTGTATTGACACAAACCTCCAGCACTTTGTCACAAGTTTTGTTTACAAAAATGTCTTTACATTCATCAATGTCTGGGATTAAAAAACAAAAGGTTTCAGCATGCGGGAGCTATATTTCAAATTTTATTTTTTGTTTTTAATGTTGGTTCTTATAAGTTATGAAAAGACGTATCAAAGTGAGTTACTACCTGTACAGATTCCATTAGTTAACCTGTAGCCCTCAGCACAGACACAGGTGTATGAGCCAATTCTGTTTTTACAGACAAAACCAGCTGGACATGGGTTGGACTGGTCACACTCATCAACATCCAGCTCACAGTGGTCACCTGTCCACTCTTTGTCACAGACACAACCTCTGACAGGGTCACATGACCCATGGCCACTACACTGGCAGATTTGGGCACAGTTCGGTCCATAGTATGGTCTTTCACAGGCTAAATGAAGGGATTGTTTAATACATAAATTTATATTATATTATAATACTAAGCAATATATATATATATATATATATATATATATATATAATTGATTTCATTCATTGCTGTTTACTCCAAGCCAAATTGCTAAAAGATAAATAAAAGAATATGAAGCCTGAATTTCATGTTTGTTTGAAGATTTAGTAAGGTAGCATTTTTTCCTAAAGAAACCATGTAGAAATTATTAAATTTTCTATTTAAATATTCAATTTGCTTTAGATATAATAATAATAGTAAGAACAGTGGTAAACATAAAATAAAATAGTTTTTTCACATATTCAATAAAATTGTAAAAGTATTAAATGCTTCCTTGTAAATTTGTTGTAACTCTTTAAAATGATTTTTAAACATTGATGTGAAAATTAAAATTACTGATTTCTATTCAGGATATGTTTTTGGAGAAAAGAAGTAAAAAACAAACAAAAACAAACAACAGCTTATTAATAAAATAAAAACAACAATTTACAGACCCTGACATGAGATTCCATCAACTGCCAGCTTGTAACCAGTATAACAAGAGCATTCATATGTGCCATTAAGATTTTCACAAATCTGGCTACATGGCTTGTTACCATATTCACACTCATTAATATCTGTTGATATATATATATATATAATATGCTTGGTCAAATAATTTGGGTAGTTAATTTTACACACCAACTCTTTCCTTCTGGTCCATCACACATTTTCACAGTGTCAGAAGCGCCTCTTTAAATAATATCATATTTTGCTAATTTGCAATTTTTATTTTTAATAACACATAAAATGACAAAAAAAAAATGTAGTGATTCAATTTGAAAAATCCATAACAACCATGACAGACAGATGATATAAAGTTAGCATGCACACATAAGTTTGGGTCTAGATGTAAAAAAATAAAACCCAGTTAATTTTTAAAAGAAATTCTTTTTCCAGCAATGAACCTATTGAATGCAGACGTCCGGTTTGTAGTTTACTTACCTTTACAAGCTCTCTCATCTTTAGGATCAGGTTCAAACCCCAGTCTACAGCTGCAGTTGACCTGATCATTGTTGACATAACAAATTTGTTCACACTCGTAGCATTTACTTATTAAAGACATATCTGGTAACAAATTAGATTTTTATATTAGATATTTAAAAAAAACTCATTCTCATAGAAACTCAATAGCGAATACTACATTATAATTACAAACTATAGTAAGTTGATAATGGTAGAAATGTCTTTTCACTATTGCTTTACATTTTGCCTTCGTAGGCCTTGTTTTACCCGTATTAAAGCAATACAGATATATTTATAAAACCTGAAAAAATGGGTTATCAGCTTTCATTGGTTAAAATAGCCATATTTTGCTTAAATTATAGAATGTATTCTAAATCAATTTTTAATAAACTACTGCCTTCAAATTAACCCACCAACAAGCGAGTTAGACATAAAATTGTTTTGTAACTACCTATAGTACAAGTGAGACCATTGCTGTCTAAGGTGTATCCAGTCTGACATGAACAAGTGTAGTTGCCAGCTGTGTTGGTACAAATCTGTTGACATTTGGATGATCTCTCCTCACATTCATTGATGTCTAGGGGGATTTAAAAATGTTTTACAGTTATGTTAATGTTAAAATTGTATTGCTATGTTTACTTTAACCTATTCATGTTTTTATAGAGGGTATGTAAAATTCTTGTCTTCACCTGTGCAAGTTTTCTTGTCTCCAGTATCCAGCCTGTAACCAGGTCTACATGAGCACATGTAAGAGCCTTCAGTGTTTGTACAGGTTTGGCTGCACATGCTTTCATCACTGCACTCATTTACATCTGTTTTATATGCAAATTAAAGGAGAAGAAAGTTTACTATTAATACTTTAAATTATTCAACAGACTATGTAAGAAATGTAATGTAAAAATGTTAACTAAATTAATATAAATCTCTACTTTTCTATTTAAAAGATTCCAAATTAAAAAAATAAATACTAATGCATTATTAAATTTAAAAAAAAAAAGCTATTGCCTTAAAATTTCCTTTCAGGTAATTTTATATATATTCTCACCTATGCATGTCCGTTCATAATCAACAAAACCAGAAGGACAGTTTCCACAAACATAACCAACTGAGTTATTTCCCTGCTCAGCAGCAGTTAGATCTGTGCAGTTCTGTCCCTTGGAGCAAGGTTTTATTGCACAAGCATCAAGCTCTGATTCACATTCAACTCCTGAATGAAAAATAATTTTCATCATTCAAAGTTAATTTAAAAAAATAGCATACAGTTGTAATAATTTTGTTATTCTAAAAAAAAAAAAATGACAATATATATTTATGTAGTAAATTATGTCTCCATAATGTAGGTAAAACATTCCCAATAAGAACTAAAACAATATATGAAACATATATTTTGTGTATACAATCCTATGAGACCAAACAAATAAGGTTAAAATACCTGTTTTACAAAACTATTGCACCACAATTTTTGTAACAGTTAAATACAGCAGTGCAGGTTAATTAATTTTACTATGCCAAACATTAATCAGGACAGAAAGTAATAATATAATTTATTAAATAGTAGTATGAAATCGTTATTAAGCATGAATATCTACCTGTATAAGCAGGATGACATGTACAGGCAAAGATCTGGAACATTCCATTAAAAATTTCCTCCCTTGTTCTATTTATATCACAAACACCATGAACACTACAGAGTGGGCAAACACTAACTGGGATGTACAACAGTGGAGAGTAGGCTCCCTTGGAGTCTTTCACACGAACTCTAAATAGTTAAATAGATAATCATGCAGTGGACAGTATTCGAAATAATAATCTAGATCTAGATTTTCCATATACAATTCTTTTAATGGAATGTATATTGAAAAATAATATAATTAAACTTCCACATATTCTATACAGTGTAGAGGAAGTCTACACCAAAACAAAAGTAAGGACTATAAGCAACTAACTGTATCACGACAGGCATTGTGACATCTGGCGTGTAGGTGATAACCCCATTCTTATCGACCTTCACATTTGTAATATTTCCGCTCAGCTCAAATGTGACGTCATCGCCATCCACATCCTCTGCTAGAACTTGTAAAGTTGATTCTATCCCATGCTTTACATTCCATCTGCTGCCGTTGTTCAGGTTTTCTTCAAGGTCTATTGTTGGAGGGTTGTTTTCTAACAACAAAAGAAATATGACCAGTTCATACATATAAAAAAAAAAGCTTCAGCTTGTTCAAAATATTACAATAAGTATTACAATATTAAATTTCACTATGTACTGATTATGTAACTGTACAGTAGGGCCTATATATATATATATATATATATATATATATATATATATATATATATATATATATGCCTATGTATACGTATATATATCAGTTTAAAAGATAGTGTGGTCAGCCCAGCCGCCTTTACTTTCCCTAACGTGAGTTAGGTACCCATCAGAGTTGGGTGGACTCACGGGTTAGCAGTCCAGCTCTCTACCGCTAGACCACTCCGTCCCATATATATATATATATATATATATATATATATATATATATATATATATATATATATATATATATATATATATATATATATATATATATATATATATATATATATATATATATATATATATATATATTACGAGAATTAAAACTTTAAACTTAACTCATAACTTTATAGTGATGTCATATACCAATATTGATTTGTTTTTATACCTTGTATTTAGAACAAAAAAAAAAGAAACATATTTGTTTATTTAAAAAAATGGTAATTTATAGTCAAGGAGTTGCTTACCAAAACTTTGAACGATGACAACCATCTCATCGACTGTGGATTTAGTGGCAGCAGCAAATCTCTTGTCCCCAGTCACCAAATAATCAAAGATACACGGGTCGTTTTTACTGCCACAGATTTCAACAGCTTTGGCCACTTCTGTCTCATTAGCTTCATCTCTAAACCAGGGCACGTGATCTGGGTGCTGGTAGTCTGATAGAGTTTTGCCTTGCTCGAATTTATAAACACAGTTGGAGGAATTCATTAGCCCTGGAAATGTACAAGGTAATGATTTTGAAATGTTTCTACGTGCAGCAAATCTGTTAACACTAAACACATTTTTAGTTAATCATTTTTCACAATATACATTTAAGAAAATTATTTCCTTTAATAATTAATTACATTGTTTAGCAAACTGGTAATAAATTTCCCTTTCACTTAAGTTTGATGGAAGAACTTGTCCATCAGGCAGGATGAACTCATCTGTCTTGATACCATTAAAGTTTCCCAGCAAACCTCGAGTTTTGTTTTGGAGTTCCTTAGAGACTTCAAACATAATCTCCAGACTTTTCACAGCAACATTCACTTCAATGCTGACACCTAAATATATAATTAAAGCAATACGTGTTTTAAATGTTGCATATTTTCAAAAAATTAAACAGAAAGTTTTGGAGAAAGAACACGTCATGTATACGAACACACACGAGTTCAAAATGTACATTGATTGATTATAGAAAAAACCTTTTATGATAATGTTGTTATACATTAAATATTGATAGTTTACGTCCCTAATGCATTGACATAATTTTATGCTCTTACTGTGGCTAATGTACTACAGAGTGTGACAATCCTGTATGAAGAGACTTTTAACGGAACATGAAAACACATATAACACTGACTGTAAGATACTGAGGATATGTGCTACATGCATTTCCAACAACAGTCTACAAATGATTAGAGCATGATTAGAACAGTAACATATTTACAATCTTTGCCAATATTCTGATATGGCAAATAGTTTAGCTCTGAAACATTAGAGTTCACAACGAACACCCTTTCCACAAATCTACCAAATAACTTGTGTTTTGAGATCTTTTAGCGCCAGTAAGCTTTTATTTGGTTTTATATTTATGTTAAATAATACTAGACCTACTATAGAAAAAACAATAAAAAAACAACCTGAGGCAAAACTGGCCACCGCTATAGTTTTATTGTTTCTGTATTCCCTGATGACACTGAGTGAGTTAGTGGACACAATAACATCTGAGTCAACGTTCTTGTAGAAATCATTTGTGATATCGATACCATTGACCCACAGCAACATGGCTGGAAAAGTATTAAACTATTAGTCATTATTACACTAAAATAAAAAAAGTTTAAACATATAATTAAATATATAGAATGCAATTAGTACATTTATAATATAATAACTAACATGTATTTGATGCCGACAGCTCAATTTGAAAGTGTGTATCATTAGACTCCTTAGCCGCGAAACCTGTAAAAGATGTTGCATTGGTCAGTGTACCCGAGCTGCTTTCAGCCTGGGATGTCTTGGCCTGAAGTAAAGAACAAAACTGATAGTTAGGTCGTAAGATGTAATGAAACATAAGTTAAATAAGTCAAAACTTTAAAAAAGTAAAGAAAATGCATTAGTTATGATTATTAAAATATGTTTTTTTAAAAATCTAAATATTAAAATTTCCTTAACCTACCTGTAAATTAAACTGTTTGTCCAGTGTCTCAATCATGGTAAAAATACCCAGTCCATTCATAGCATAAGTGACACTATCCAATGTTGTAATGTGAGGGTCTCCTAATGCAGAAGCTAGAACCGCGTTTTTTTTTTAAATTAGTGATTATTAATTATATAATGAAAATAATAACAAATAACTAAAGTTAAACGTATTACCAACCTGGCACAAATTCAACAAAATTTGAACATCCCATATCCGGAAAAATCTGGTAAAACTGGTCGCAAAGTTTGACTTGACTAGAGTCTACACAACACCATTGGTGTGCTTGTATATTTTCTAGAGCCTGAAAGTTATCGAAGTATCCCATTTGCCAAGGGTCATTAACCAAAACATGTCCTGAGTCTGGCGATGCTGGGATATAAGAAGCTTCCAGCCATGATTGTTGCCAGTCTCTCCAATTGTCATTGGCTGGTTTTGTCCAATGGTAACAACACAGCTATTTAGAACCATTTTGAAAATTGGAAAACATAAAAAGTAAATTAATATTTAAAAAAAATCATCTTAATTTAAAATTGAAAAAAGATTTGAATTTTTTTTTCTTCTACAACTAAATAAGATGTTCACCATATTCCTTTTGTTCCCCTGCAACAACCTGAGCTTAGCCAGACTGCTGATGGCGTAGCAGTAAACATCTTGTTTCTCCCCACGTCTCTCATAGAGCTGCCACTGACGCCCAAGTCTCTCCAGTGTACAGGGACACTTGTACAGCTGACGTTTCTCAACCTCGTACACAGGGTCAGTCAGCAGGTCAGCGTGTTGACACAGATATTTCTCACACATCTGGTCTGGCCCAGATACCTTACCCACTTCAAAACTTATGACACCATTCAAACCTAAAAAAATACGTAAAAAAGATATAACAAATTAAACTAAGAAATAACCACACATTTATGGAGCTATTTAAATCATAGAAATAAAACTTATGACGATATTCAGAACTATGATGTCTATATATATACTTAAAACAATTACTTATATAACATTGTGGTAAAATAGATTCACAATTATATAGTATACATTATATTATAATTTTAAAAAAAATTACCTGTATTTCCAGGTACTTTATCCAAGTTACCAACTAGAGGCGTGTCCAGGTCATTTAGTGATTTTATATTTTTACCCACAATTCCAATAGCTACAGGTCTTCCTGGTACATAATCCCAAAACATTTTTCCTTGCTGGTATATAAAAGTGACATAGGTAGACTTCTCATCTGTTAAAAATATTTATGTTAATGACCGTAATGAACTCTATTATATATAAAATATATAATAGTAAGCATATGTAAAAAAAATACTAGGAGTAATTTAGTATGAAGAAAAGGTAAGAACAGAAAACTATAAAAATTCTAAAACATCTTTTACCCGATAAAATTACTTGTCCTTGTTTATTTATTGTTTCCCATCCACTGCCAACAATGGCTTGAAAAGTGTTTAATTCGGAATCCTGAAATAAGTAGGGGATAAATAATGTAACAATCATTGGAAAAATATCAATGGCCAACATATATAAACTTACGACATATTTTCAAAAATACCAATATCTTTTATGTTATGATAAAGAGACATTTTATCAAAATAAAATGTTTTAAATTTTATTTTTATTTGTACTTTTGTAAGAAAGACTACAAATATTATAGTCTATAGAAATAAAAGATCTTTACTTTTACCAAACTTTCGTATTCTTTAATTATATAAAACATTTGACATTACAAAAATAATACTGTGTTTTTCAATAGATAAAACAAGTGTAAAAATAATTAAATAATTGAACTCAGCAGTTTACTTTGACAGAACTTGAGGGCGGTTGAACATTCTCCCATGTGACAATCATAACTGTATCTAATTCAATCCCAGAAAGGTCATGAAACTTTGCAATGTCTTCTTTCGCTCTCTTTGTTACATTGCTAAACTCTGGTGAGCTATGACTGGCTGTTTTGCCGCAGTTTTCGTAAAGATGGTAATACACTTTTCCTTAATAGCAGATATATAAAAAAAATGTTTAGTAAATTTATAAAATATCCCACGCGGAAAACATATCATTGCATAATATGTGCCGGTGAATATTGCTTTATTCCCTTTACTCTAAAGGTTGTAGCCTAAATGAAATAAAATGATTTGTTGTAATCGAGGTTATTTCATATGATTTTATCTAAGTTTTGGATCAAAACATAGAAATAATTTTTTAAAAATTTCCATAATTTGGCAAAGAAAATCCACCTTTATCTTTATTGTCTAAAATATGAAACCTAATAGAAATAAATTAGTTATAACAAAAATACAAACTAGCCTGATTAAAATCTTTATAACCCTGTATTCAACAGCTAAAGCCTAATGTATTTAAAAAAAATTATTATTACAGTCGAGTCACTACCAAACCTTTTAAAGGATTCATGCCAGTCCAAAAAGGAGCTATAATGTTCATTCGCATTTGGTGGACCAAATTTAGGTCTGATAGTCCACTTAGTTCAGTTGTTTGTTGACCAAAGCTGATCACACCATTAGAGAAAACCTTCGGGAAAAATGTTAAATATATTGGCAGTGCAAATACAGTAAACTGAGGCATATACAGCAACATTCTCTATTTGGTTCTTACTTTAGTGAAACTAATTTATTTAAAAAATAAAATTCAGATCTTAATAACACTACTTAGAAATTTAGATTCTACTTTTAAGAGAATATGGCTTAATGTTTTAAAAATTGTAACAGTAACTTACATTAGCTCCAAACGTATACTTCTCTTCAAACGGTACTCCACGAGAAAACATTATAGGCTGGCTAACAGAATATCCCCTAAACATTATAATGTTATTTAAAACGTCGTCTTGAGCTCTTACACCGTAAGGATAGAAAGGAACCGAAAAAGACATAACAATTCTATCATATTAAAAAGAAATATTTAAAAGAAATAGAACAACATTGTGCTTAGTAAAGCACCAATTAATTTTCGGATACATTTTACTGAAAGTCAACATAAGACTATTTAAAGAGTATTGAAAAATTAACTACACTATTCCATAATTATAATTTTATACTCCATTAAAAATTACCAAACAATATAGAGTTGCAAAGTGATAAAAATATAGTTTCCTCAATCTCTTTAAGGAGACATAAAAATATAATATAAAAACTAAGCTTATAAGTTAAACACGATAAACAAATTAATTAATAGAGACATGTGTAATTTTAACTTTACTTAAGTTAAAATTCCGTACAAATTGCCATCCATTGGTAAAAATGCGCTAAAATATGTTTAAAAAAAATGTAAAGAGAATAAATGATAGCCATACCAACACATGCAAGCTGTGTCTCAGTCTCAAGCACCAGTCCTTCAGGACAAACACATTTCTCTACACCAGGACGTACAACATAGCAAGTATGGGAACATTGTTTGAAGACACATTCAGAACTTGCTAAAAGATTATAATGTCTTGTTGTTAAATAATTAAATATCTATTTAATATACGCAACTCTTACTACATCAAGCTGTTATGATTAAAATTGTGTTGTGACTTACCATCGCATGTTTTGGTTGTAGAGTTGTACACATATCCCAGGTGACAGTCACACCTGTAGCTGCCCAGCAGGTTGACACAGTCCGAGTTGTCTGGACACACCTTGTTGTTGGTACCCAGACATTCATTGACGTCAACAGAACAATCCCTCATGGTCCAGCCAGGCTTACAGATACACTCGCCATTGGTGTTGTCACAGAACTGGCTGTTTTCTCTCACACATTTACAGTTGGTGTCGCATGAGGTCACGCCGTATGTAAAACTGCGACAACCTTGGGAAGAGTAATATATACACACTTACGCACATATAGCTTGCTTATTTAATTTTGGAGGGGGGCGGGGCAGGTTATGGTTGGGGATTTTTTAAAAACTAGGTCTATTCTTTTGATGGAGATTGGAAAATACGTCGCTTGAGCTGATCAATATGCTTTTATCAAAAATATTCAACTTACTGTGCGAAATATATGTTGCTCTAAAACCAGGTCTCTGGTTATTCGCATTAGATCTGAATGTTATGAACATGTTGTTGCCTAGAGTTCGTATAGCACTGGGGACATCTGAATTTCTGCAATACTTCCCAATTTGTCTTTCATTCGTGCGTACACCGTCAAAAACTTCTATGTAATCAGATTCACATTTATGACTAGTTTCCAAGTCAAGTCTTGTGAACCTGTAAAAAGATAAGGTAAATGATATTGCTAAGTGGACAGATATGAAGTATGGACTAATTTGTAATTTGTTCATAGCTTATTTTTAAGTTAGTTTTAGGATTAGTAGTGAGTTGGATTTTTGTTTTTGGTAAATACTGTGGCTAATTTATACATATATTTAAGGATGTACACTTTTGGGAAGTATGTTTTTTGTTATTGTGTAGGTAATGAGCACAACTTTGTTAAAGCTATATTTTGATTGATTCTCTTTCAATGAAAAACACTTTGCAAATGGCAAATTAATAAAAATTAATTAAAAATAAATAAATGAAAAACACGGAAACTCCATGATAATTTAAATGTGTCAAGGAGGTTATTAATTAACATTTAAAATACCTCTTAGTTTCAAATGTATTAGACCAACCTATCTTTTTATCTGACTGCACATATTTTCTTCGAGCAAAAATAATAAACGAAAAGCTTAATATTTAATATTTTTTTTATGGACGCATGTATGTTATATTATATCGGTAGCCACAAACACTAATTAAAATAAAGACATTAAGAGACATCTGAAGATCTAAAGGTACCTCAAGGACACGACATTTCCTTCCTCAGCACTGATCAACCAAGAACAGTTGGCGTTGTTAAAGTAATCCGATGGATGATTAGGACTTGTTATAATGCCGGATGTGTTTGACGAAGTAGAACTGCAATCTGTTAAGAATAATCACACATTCAGGTTAAATTTTAAGGGACGCAATTACTGCATATGATTGCTAACTCCAAAAGTCCCGAGTTCGGATCCTAAGAAGATAGGGATTGTTAGATGGGGAGAGAGCAACCCATGTATGAGAGAAAATTCCAAAACTAAATTGCTGCCTAAATTCGTGTGTGGATAAAGGCTATGAAAGAACATTCAGAACAAAAAGGAGGATGTAGTCGGAGTCACTGGGACATATGGTGCATAATATTTAACATGTAATATTTAATCCTGTTGGAAGAAATCTCCTTTAATATTACAAGTAAAAACAAAAAAGAAGGTAAAGTAAATTTTACACCAAAAATTTAACGGACTGAAAAGTGGTAGATTAACAAAGCTTTTTCATGTCGAATGTTTCTTTTAGACCAGAAGTTTTGTTACCTTATTTAGTATATTTCCTAAAATTGTACAATATCGATTATCTTGTTATAGTTTACATTAAAATTGTAAAAATAAATAAATATTTGAAGCCAAGTTTAATTTAATCCTTGTATGGTCAAATTCCAGGTAGCAGACCCCAATCCCAGGTGAGAGAGGAAAACACAACACACTAGAAATGCTAGCAATAAAAGTGTAGGTAAGTGTTCCAGAAGTTAGAACATGGATGAACGGGAAAGTAGAGTCATCAAGTTAATACATAATGCACATACATGTCACACTTATGGAAGATTTGTAAAAAGTGGATACATTTACCTATCTGGGCAGTATTGTTAATATTTATGAATAGATAGAGAAAGATTTTTAAATATCTTATCAACGTTCAACAAAGTAGAAATGTGTGTTGCTCCAGTGACTTATCACACATGATTAAACTAAGTATAGCATATGTATCGAGACATGCCTCAAAAGAAATCTTAACTTTCGCTATGGGCCCAACACCATTACAAATGAAGAACTATAGCAGCAAATAAACGATCTGCTTAAGACTAAAGCCCAAAAAGAAAATAACAATGAACTGGTCATATTTTTAGAAAGCCTACAGATAAAGGCCTTAACAAGGACACGATAACGCAAAAACTAATTGATAACAAAAAACAGACATGGTTAACATTAGTGTTTTTTTTACTGTGTAAAATGTGTAAAACGTTTAATATACAATTTATTTAACTCAATTCTGAGTAGGTTACTTTGAAAATGTTACGGATAAGTTATATATTTACTTATCGGGATACAAGATTCATTTCCAGACTCAGTATATCCGTCTGTCTCGCTACATTTACAGATGTAGCCGCCATAGGAGTTTATACAGATTGAATGCGCCTGACAGTTATAAGTGCCCAGTTTACACTCATCGACGTCTAAAGTACAAAACTCTCCTGTCCAGTTGGTCAAGCAGCTGCATTTGCCAGTTCGGGTGTCACATCGATATGTGTTGGTTAAGGAACACGGACAATTTTTGTAGCAGTCTGGTCCGTATGTACTGTTTGGACAGTCTGAAATGTTTGAAATTTCTTTAAGTGACATTACAATTTGTGTAAAGGCTTTTTTTAAAAAGAAAACAATACATGAAAAAAATCAACAAGGAGATAGGCTACATAAAAAAAGCCAGTCAAATGTGCCATAAGTTTAGTGGAAAATGCTATGATTAAGAATACGTTGATGCTTGTGTTTTAAACAATAAAAGAGTTAAGAAGTAAAATTATCGGTACTATTATTTAATATTTAATTAAATTGTAGCTATTTATTTGAAAAATTAACAATGTAGATAGCTGAATTACCAACACACTGATCCCCAACTAAAACCATTCCAATAGGACAATAACACTGTTCCGTAGAGGCTTCCTGACTAGTGACCCTTACACACAGATGGGAACAGTTTCTTTCTGTGCAGCTGCTGTTACTGACTTCAGCTAAGAGCAATAAACTAGTCAAGTTATATATATATATATATATATATATATATATATATATATATATATATATATATATATATATATATATATATATATATATATATATATATATATATATATATATATATATATATATAGTTCGCAACGTCTGTTTTTGTTTGTTTGTGGGTTTGTGGAAAATCTTGTAACTCGAGTTTAACCCACTTTTAAAGCAGCGATTTCGTTCAATCTTTCCAGATAAGTTCCAATTCAATGACAATACAAGTCTATCAATTTTTTTAAATTTAATTATTCGTTTAATTAGTGATAACAAATTAATTAAACGATTTCAAAACTACGGAGAGATAACTAGCATTGATGGGATCACCCTAACAGCTGGCGAGCTGTAGTTCACGAGAATATTTACAATCGTAGAGTTGGCCGATCTCGTTAAGGTTAATATGGGTAGATAATAAAGTTTTTAAAACTATTTAAAATTAAGGGGAGGTAACAAAATTAAAAACTATCCTTCGTTTTATCTTTTTGCTGCTGCCTGTAAATAGTGGTCACGGACCGCGGCGTTTCAATGGGCAGATAATAGTCTGTTAGATATTGCGAGCAACTGATGGTGTTTTAAGGCAAATATTTTTTAATTAGGTTAATTGATAGAAAAACTGCATTTTATTTTTCTGCTTTGAAACATTGATATTTTAATAAGTGTATTCTACTTGCCTTTAATAACTGCGTGTATTTCTAATTAGCTTATGACAAAACAAATCGGAACATTATTGTTTAAAGAATTTTGTTTTTGTTCCAAGAAAATGCAGGATAAATTATCTTGACATATGTAGGATGGTGGTCTATTAAAATAGCATAACTTTATAATTATAATCTCGTAGCTATCGGATCCAAAGTAAATAATTCTAGGTAATGTCATCTGTGAACCACAATGTGGCTGGTCAGTGAAAAAGTGTATAAAGATAATATATTTTAAATTTGCGCTTATGAATATTTGTATATTTTTAAACTCACCAACACATTGTCTGATCGAGTCCATGACCAGCCCAGGCTTACACGTGCAGGTAAAACTTCCGTTTAAGTTTTGACAATCTGAGTAGTCTGGACAGGCCAAAGGGTTTTCATAACATTCATCAATGTCCATAGAACAATTTTCTGATGTCCATCCTTCCTTACAAACACACTGCCCCGTGGTGCTGTTACAGTAATTTGTGTTGCCCTGGACACATGTACATGGTGTTGTACAGTTGTCATCGTAGGTAAAATTGGAACATTCTGAGCAAAGTATTAGAATGTGAGTTTAGTCGAGCAGGACAAAGTCTTGTAAAATCTAGTTAATACATGCCGTATTGTTCAACGCCAATGGCGTTGTTGACATTGTTTTAAAGCCAGAAGTTATCAAATTTTAATCTACTCCCACTCGATTTAATTTAGCAATGTCTGTAAATTTGAGATAATAATTAAAAAACTGAGGTTAAAGTTTTTCGATTGATTTTCATGGCGTTGAGTTCTACGATGTTTGCCTTATTGTTTCCAAACTATAATCTCCCATACGCTATTATTTTATAAGAAATAAGATACGAAAATAATCACTTCATCTTTTTATAATACTAACCATGAGTCCAGTACGACAGTATAATTCTTCCAACATAATCAGTGTTATAGCCATTGTATACGTTTGAGGGATACAACTTAACGTGTAACTCGCTTCCTGTTGATCTCACGATTCCATGTGGGTATTGATAAGCACTGGTCTGACTGTACAAAATGGCGATCACGTTTGAGCTGTCGTTTCTCCCATCATTAAACTCTACGAAACCAGGCTTATACCCATTGCCACTTGGCAGGTATATGGTATCCAGCGTATGAAACCTTGAATGAATAGTTCACAAGAAACTACTTCATAAAAATATTTCTTTTTTAAATGTAGTAATAATTGGTATAAAAGGAATTATATTTATGAATCTTTGGATAATTTTTGTAAATTCGTGCACTGAAGTTTGGTCTTAGATAGTATGCAATGCTGACCATCAATAGGTATTTTAAAACACCATCCCTACATATAAATAACTGAATGAATTTTCATAGTCACTAAAGAATTGAATATGTGAACTGAGAAATCGTTTAGGGGAGATAACTCCTGCTTTTTTGATCATCCTAATATATAAAAGGCCATGTGCGCTCTTCTCTCTCTCTGTCCGCAAAATATTTTCGCCGGACATCACGTCAGAATCGGCAGCGATATATCGAGAACTTTTGTTGAAAATAATATGTTAGATGTTTTAAATGTATAACCACAATTTTATTTAAAGAAGAAAAATAAAAAATAAAGGCGTATTCGAATATAGAGAAACAGTATTATTTATGCAACCGGAAAAGTGTATAAACTTGGGACAAGAACGCATTTAACAATGACGTCGCTTATTGTTTACACTAAAACAAGAGCACGAAACTGATGACGTCATCTTCCGAGTTTAGAATTTTAAAAAATGAACTATTTCATTCAAATATGATTTAGAGCTATGTACGCTATGAAATGTAGACTACACAATACGATATTCTCGGCCTAAACTTAAAAAAATATTTTATCTATTTGGATTCTAGATCTAGAGATTCTAGATCTAGACTAGATCTAAAGCTACGCAAAAACTACACTTAGACGCTACGTCGCTAAGATCTATTCTAGATCTAGATTTAGACTCTATCTACTGTAGAATCTATTCCAAAAATAAATTTCTATAATAAACTTTTTCAGGACTTAAATATTTTATAGAAATCTGTGTTTGTTTAGCAATGAAACTGGCTAATTTTGGGTAAAAAAAATAATTTGAAAAAATAGGCATATTCGTGTAAGTTATTTTTTTAAACACTTCTTCTATTCTCCATATTTTAAAAGGTACCTAATTAGCTGAGATAATAGTGTACTTGATACCAGACAGGTGGTACTGGATCGAGACACACCAAGTCAAACCTAATTTTTTTAATATGTGAATCTTCCTATTTTAGACTATAAAGAAAGGAACTACTTTGGAAACCTTTGTTTATATATGCAATTTGCTAATCTCTATAATATATGAAGCAAAGTTGTTGGGTGCCCGACATCGGGCACTTCCCGTGCGCTTCAAATTTGGCAGGATTTTGCCTTGGGGCGACAGAACACGGGGGCCGGTGCCGGTTGGCCTAAAGGTCTACTATGAGGGGGTCAAAACAGATCTCGACTGACCGGCGCCTTATATGAGCTATGAATCGAAAAAAATTTGTCCACGTAGGAACCTCTTCATAACTCTTGAGGTCGTAGACCGACCCTCGGGCGAATTAATTAAGCATTCAAATTATCAATGTATTTGAAAGCCTAAGCAAAGCTGGGCAGCATGCCTAGTGCTTTTGTATACGACTAATAAAAAAAAACATGTTTGATGTGTGTAAATGAAAACACGATTGTAAAATTAACCTTATATACTATAACAAATTGTGGCTTCTATCTATATCAAAAAGTGCTCAGTCCTACTTTAAAGAAACAACCTTTCCTTCCTGTGCTTGTATAGTCCAAGAACACATCAGAAAAATACTGGATGAATAGTGGTGGTTGTAACGGTTGATTTCAATACTGCCTGATGTCTGTGATAAGGTTTTACCACATGCTGTGGGAATGGAGTAGTAATTTTAAAGTGCACCTGTATAGCAGGGGTAAAGTAACAGCACAGACAGGGGCAGGATGTGCGACATTCCGGTGACCGGAAGAAGTACTTTACGCTATTTCCGATTTCTAAAAAAAAACGCATATCAATTTATAAAGTACTAATGTTCTGCACTATAAATTGTTTGCTGTTCACTTCGTGCGCAATTCTTTTTCTATGAGATTTTATTGTATTTTAAAAAGCTTAAAGCATTTAAAAAATAATGAACAATCATGTCCATATCCAGAGTTACAATCCCCTTTAGTATTATATAAAAAGTTCGAGATAGTTTAGTGGAGGTGACTCCCGCTCTATTTTCAAGTTTACCAAGCACATTGCCGAAACTAGGTAATTAATTTATCGAGTTAAAAATAACAAAACATAATGTATCTATTTATATTGCATTATCATCTACAACACAAGCTGCCAATATATCGGCTGTGGTTTACATTATTTCAATCAATAAAGCACACAACCTACCATCACAGTATGTCTGATTCACTATGTCATAGCCTACTAAACAACGACACTCGAAAGATCCATATGTGTTGCCGCACCTTGCATTTTCTACTGGTTCTAAACACGGAGGCCTCAATAGACTGCATTCATCAAAATCTCGATCACACAAGGTGGACGTCCAGTTAGAATAACATGTACACAGGCCATTGGTCTTGTCACATGACTTTGTCCTTGACTTATCACACTTACACGAGTTGGAGCAGTTTTCGCCAAATGTCCAGTCGTCGCATTCTGAAAATAGTTTGCTTAAACGTTTGCTTAAACGTTTGCCAATTCTCGGTTTTTGCAATATACGCTTTTGATAAAAATATGTATGTTACTCAGCTTAGAGAAACGGGTGAACTCTACTTCACTTGCTCGATTGTCCGTTAAAGTTAAATATACTATAAGATGTGGCGAAAGTAAAATAAATCCTAAATGAAGAAATAACGAAAACGCTGTGACTGTAGGTCATTAAGGGAACAAAATAATCACAGAATACACAATGCTACTAGCAAATAATCACATGTCGTTAGTAGATATGAAAAACATTAAAGTCTTACAATTTTAGTTAATTTCTCAAAGCTGAGTATTATCACATTTTTAATGTCTGCTTAAAAGCTACTCACCAACGCACGTCAGGTTGTCTGCAGGATTAAGCTTCATGCCTTTAGGACAATAACAAACTTCTGTTCTGGGGCTGGTTGATGTGATGCCACAAGCATGGGAACATTTCTTTTCGATGCATTGTTTCGGGTCTAAGTTGTACAAGATTAAATACAAAATAGAAAAGTGCTTATAGACAATATTAAGTAAACTTTTACCACTATCGTTGTTTTTTAACTATACGTTTATTTTCTAGTAACAAGTCAGGTAAAATTAATTTAGACATTTTAAATTTTAATACGGATATCAGATGTATTATGCTGCACCCTAGCTGCTCTTGACATTTTAATTTTTTTAATCATCGTATAATCTACTACGTTAAGAAGGTAAACAAGTCAAACGCCTACCCCAGCACTGTCCTGTACTGTTTTTGATTAACCCAGGTTTACAGTCACACCTGTAGCTGCCAGGTGTGTTGACACAAACAGAGTACAGGTCCGAGCACAGGTTTGGGTCATCGCATTCGTTGATGTCCACAGAACAGTCCGCAGATGACCAGCCGGCCTTACACACACAGGTACCGTTGTAGTTGACACAGTAGAGGGAGTTTTCTCGGTCACAAATACAGGTAATGTTGCAGGTCTCAGGGCCGTGTTTGAAACTTTCACACTCTTAAGAAAAGAAACTCAGAATTTAATATATAACTTGGCGCATAAACAACACACCTAGAAAACACACGTGCACCTAGCACCTTGTTCTCAAAGTAAATCTTAACAATTGGAGAAACATTCAATCCGATCACCAAGAAAACCCTTGTATTCCCCTTTCACATTCAATGTCAATTAAAGCCTGGTCATCATTTTTAGAATGGGTTTAGGTCGTTATTCCATGTCAAGGGAATTTGGGAAGACGATTTTCAGGCATGTAATGTTTATCAATTCTCGAAATCGTACTGATTTATTTATAATGTAAGGGTGAGATTATTTGTGCTAAGTTTTTTTAAAAATGTGGTTATGTGGCAGTTTTTGAATACTAAAAACCGCCAAAGGACAAAGTTACAACTGAATCTTCCTTGTTCCAGTTTGATACATTAGTTTAATAAGCTGAAAAAAAATTCACTTTTTATAATTACGTTTACACATTTTTCAATTCATGATTTAAAGTGACATGTGCTCGATACAAAATAATTGACAAAAAATTGACAATAATTTACAAAAAAAAAAAAACGATTGAATTAATGAAAACTTTAGAAATTACCCCTTTTCAATGTGGTTTAGTTTGATAGTGACAGAGTTATCGTTGTTTTTAATTTTAGAGACTGCTATGTAAGGGAGAATCAGAATTCCTAGATAGAAGACAACGTATCACAATTTTATTTTTTTAAAACAGAAATAAATTATTTTTACTTACCGTGAGCCCAGTAGGAGCCGCTAAAGCCTGGACGTGAACCTGTCGAATCCGACTGAAATCTCACGTGCATATGGTTTTTCGTCGACCTGATGACAGTTTTTGATACAGTTTCGCCCTGGTAGCCACAGAATCGTCCCTCAATCCTAGAGGACTGTGGGCTTGGGCCGTCATAAAACTGGACGTGGTCTATGCAGTTCTCATACAACCGTTCCAAGTCCAGACGGGTAAATCTAAAATTAAAGCAACATTTAAAAAATACCTTTTCAATAATAAGCTTCTAAATGTAATTTTTTTTTCAATAAAACGACCTTGCCTTCTTTAATAAAAGCATTGGTCACTAAAATGTATAAGATATTTCACGATGAACCAATGCTGTTAATTAAATAAAGCACTGTTTTTATTTTCTCAATTTCAGTGCATTTAGAAGCTTTATATTAAAGATTATTAGTTTAAAAATTTTGAGATTGTTTGGCAACCACATACCTGAATGCAACAACCTGTCCTTCAGCCACTGTGATTGTCCAGTTACAGATGGCATCGTTAGGGTAGGAGTCTGGGAAGTTGGGGGAGAGAATCGTGCCAGCCTGGTCGGTCAATGAACCACCACAATCTAGAGGTATGGAGATTTAAAGTAAAGTAAAAACTTTGTATTAGAAAGAGCTACCTGTCGCCTTCCTGTAAACTTTTTAACATTCTTGTATTTTCTATTGAATACAATTTTGTGAGGCATTGATAAAAGGATAAAGTAATAAAAAGAAGTCCTGCTTAGCGTATTGATTGTTAACATAGACTCACTTCTATTTTAACTAGCCAAATGTCGCAAGCAATTGACCGTGGCCTTGACACACTTGAAACCAACCCTTACCTTTATTTAAATCTTGACTGGTGACGTAGCTAGAATGTGCCAATACTTAACTGTATTTAAAAAAAAATTACTTACTTGTGTAGCAGGCGACGTAGCTAAATTGTGCCAATAAAACACCCACAAAAACAAGGCGAGGCCATGAACCCATGTCTCTGACACCCTCCGTGTTGTTTCTAAATCATAAAAATTAGCTTTATTTACTTTGCACAATATATATTATTGCATAAATGCAGCAATTTAATGTAGATTGAAAATTGAAATTTTAATAGAAAAAAATTTGATTTAAACGACTAGGCAACAATTAACATCGAAGATTAGAGCGAAACAGACTCGCATTGTTTTGAGTCACACAAGAGCTATTGTCACGGAACAATACATATTAATTCATTTCAAAAGTATCTATTGCAAAATCTATTTAATTTTTTTTTCTAAATTAAAATAATTAATATTTTTCTAATACTAACTAGGTTGAGTCAGTTAATTCACCGTTAAATATTGATCAATGTGTCGCGATTCTCGGATATCTCGAGTCCGCAGTTCGCAATAGAATCTCTTCTTTTGATTTTAAAAAAAAGGACCTCATCTGCCTCTTGTAGAATAATAACCCGAATGATAAACGAGTTCGTGTCCTTCGTTAGTGCCTAGGCGACCAAGCTCGAATGACCAACTGAGTTGGGGAACGCATACACGGCTGAGTATTCCGATGACCGCGAAAAAGTTTCTTAGCTGAGGATCAACCAGTAAACTCGTCTTCATCTACTTCATTAGCTATCGGTTTTAACTGTCGGACTTAACAAAATAACTTATTTTTATCTCAATTTTAAAATTATAATTTTCAGATTCACACCCTTTACCCAGGAAACGACCGTATCGTATTGCAAGAGTAAAATTCACTCAAAGACGTTGCCACATAATGAAATCTAGACGGTAGTAAGTAGAGCAAACCTCAGACCTGAACTTCCTTTTTTAGTATGGCACCCCTCTTTTATACATGTCTATGAACACGCACACTCAAACAAATCTCGTGTGCCATTAAATTACTTAACTGACAGGGAGGAAGTTTCATGTATCAAGTGATCTACTTACACAATCTTATTTTCTGTCGGTTTCAAGATAGCCATATGATTGACATTTGTTCTTATTGTTGTCAAATTCGACTTCCCAGTTGGAATACTATCTATGAATTATAGATCTAAAGAAAAGCCATACCTTTCTAATCGTATAGAACAAATGGAGGTAACATAATTTACTTGTCAGCAGTAGCGTAGCGAGGGGGGGTCGGGGGGGGACATATGTCCCCGGGCGCCGACCTTAGGGGGGGCGCCAAATTGAAAGTTTGAGGGGGGGGGGGTGCAAATGAAAAGTTCGAGGGGGGGGGGGGTGCAAATCGAAAGTTTGAGGGGGGGGGGGTGCAAATCGAAAGTTTGAGGGGGGGGGGGGTGTGCAAATGAAAAGTTCGAGGGGGGGGGGTGCAAATCGAAAATTTGCTCCCAAGGGGGCGCCAAATTGAAAGTATGTCCCCGGGCGCCGGGAAGGGTCGCTACGCCTCTGCTTGTCAGTTTTTAATATGTTGTACTGCTGGACAGAGGACACAAAGATAAGAACTTTACAGACAACTCTTGAAGCTAATGCAGTTTCTTCGGGGGGGGGGGGGGGGAAAGAAAGTTTACCGGCCCACCCCCGAACGAAATGTATTTTATATAGAAAATATATACTTTTAACGGTGTCCGACCCCCCCCCCCCCACCGGAGACAGTCTAAAAGAAACACTGAATAAATGTCTCAAACTGCCCCTAATTTTGATACTTTTCATACATAAATCCATAAAGCCATTTTTCTCTAATTTTGTAAAATGTTTATAAATCAATACAACACAATTACCTGGAATTAAAATAAAATAGCAACCAATACTTATCGGTCTGAGAAATGAGAGGGAAATCCAGATTTCTCATACGTAGCAGTCTCAGATTTCAAATTGATTATGTTTTACGTAGGAAAAGAAAACAAATCAATACATTTTAATCTGTATGATGTTAATTTTTAAAAGGTGTGTATTTAACAATTTAGTTTGAAGCGATTGCAATATTTGTGTTGGTTTAAAATGGTTGCCCTTTTTTGTCAAAGAATAGTAACAATATTAAATTGATCGCTCTGCTGCCTGTGTTGCAAAAATTAAAAAGAAATATGCCTACGTATTTCTGATAAGGTAGGCCTATCACTCGAATATGCGACCTTATACAAAATAATAATTTCAAATTGATTACAACGAATACAGTCTAGTCCTTAGTAAAAATCACATAGAGTACACGGTGCTAAATCTTTCAAACGACTTCCTTGTTATAGCTGTAACAAAGATCAAACGAATTTACTAGCCCATAGTCCAACCAAGAACAAACACTCGTGCGTGCTTATTTTAAAGAGCGGCCTCTATAAATTTTCGTAATTAAATATAGGCCCTATATTTTGCACCCGAGAAAAAAAAAAAGATTTATAAGGTTTTAAATACTATTTTTTGACCATATCTATAGTATTTTTGACTCTTTGGCTGCAGTGTTTCTTTCAGACTTTTTTCTCCAGGGGGGGGGGGGGGGCAACTTGAAATTTCCAGGGAGGGGGGTGGTGGACACTGGTAGACGTATATATTTTCCATATAAATGCCATTTCGTCCAGGGGGGGGGGGGGGCGGTAGACGTTGGAAGAAGCCCGTTTGGTTGACTGATTTCCAAAGAAATTTTATTTCGATAGTTTATGTTGACTAGTTTTTAGATTGGTTTAAAAAAAAATTAAGGCTCAGGGTTTTAGCATTCATACTTGCAGGAGCAGGCTGCCTGGACAAATTGCCAAAGGTACAGTCATTGTTCTTGGACGGGGAGTAGGGGGGAGAAGGAGGGGGAGACATTATTCTACCACTACGTATTCCACTGATTATGTATAACCATATATATATGAGATCATTTGTCCTGTCACCATATATATATATATATATATATATATATATATATATATATATATATATATATATATATATATATATAGTCGAAAAGGATCCGTTAAATATGTATAGTAGATATGTCATGTTACATAGACTTTTTTACATTGGGTCACAATGGAAACGATTGTCTATCATGCTCATGAGTGGATCTCTCATTTATGTTTGTGGGTAAAAGGATTGGGAGAATGTGACTAGATCTAGATATAACATTTGTAACTTGGAAGAGATGCGGGGAATAAGCTAAAAAAGCTTTGTTAAATAAGCTACGCTTAGATCTGCCTGTGGGCATTTTAAAAATACCTTGTTATGTTTTTTTTGAGCATGAAAGTCTTGAGCAAACATGTATAATTTAAATATCTTTTCTTGAAAGAGATATAATATTTCATTTAAATCACACAATTAAGGCGTGTAGTGTAATAAAATTAAAAGAATAAAATAATTTTGTGTTGACTCAATTTACGGTATGACAAAATATTTGTCAATGGTTTTTTTGTTTGGGATATATGTGCTAAATTATTTCATAAATAGGTTCCAGAGTAGATGATAAAAATAATACTTGGCATCGGTAAATTTTAGTATAATTATAGTATAGTACGTCAACCAACAACTTATAATTATATTATTTCATTGTTTTGCCTAAGATAATTATCTATTAAAAACAAATTAGATTGCTGGAATCAACAAACAAAAACAATTTGGTAAAACAGATTTATCTTGAATTTATTTTAAGTAAATGTTGTTTTATAGTAGTAATTGTTTTTTTAAAATGTACTTTGATTACATTTACCATTTATTTTTTAGATATATTTTATTATATTAAATATAAGTAGATATGATTCATTTACTAAATACTTTTCAATTTTATTAAAATGTTAAGTTATTTGATTACAAGAAAATAAGAATAATTTACTTGAAGAGAATGTACATGAATAAACAACGAAAATGTTGAATATTAAGTTTGAGTTTACATTTTTCTTAAAATTTTCTATTTATAAGATAAATTTGAATGAGCTTTGCTTGAAGCAGAGGCTGTAATGTATCTGCAGAAAAGAAAAAAAAATATTTTCATTTTTGACTTTTATAGTAATTTATGATTTTTCATCATGTTAAATGCTTTAATCTAAAAAAAAAAACATATTCAAAAGTAAATATTTGATACAGCTAATTGTTTTGTTCTAAAAAAACACTGAAGATTTAGGCTATTTTAAATAAAAAACTGTTCCTGCTTGCCTAAAATACTCAAGTGAGGTTTACATGTAGGCATTTAAATTTGTTATCATTGAAATTAATAAAATTGAAAAAAAAAATCCAATAGTATATAATAACAATTTATCAAACTATATGAATATTTGTAATTTTTTTCATTTAAAAGATGGTTTAATGTAACTTTCAATTGTTTGTAAAATTTTACATTTTGACTAAGAGTTGTACTAAGCTTAAATAATTCTACTCACTCATTTGACATATCTTGATAGAGTAAGTCAGACCTCAGAGATTCAGATGTATTTGTTACATTTCTTTCTGTTTTATATCTGTGTGTATATCTACAGACAAGAATTCCAATAACAACACACAGTACAACAAAAGCAGCCAAACCGATAGCCAATCCAAGGATCAGTTTAGTGTAATCTGTAAAAAAAAAAGAAAATCCCTTTTATTTCGAACAGAATTGTAGAATTATGTTCAAAACTTGTCATCCTAAAGCAGTTCCTAAACTTATTATTTAAATTAATGTTAACCAGAGAGTTTAAGTACAAAACATTTCTGTGTAACTAAGTTTTCCTAGTAAATTACATTTTAACTTAGTGCTTTAAAAAATTATCACTTAATAAAATTTTTCATTACTTTGTATTGATCATTTAGTATTTGTTTAAATATTGATTCAAACAAAAAGAAAAATATTGGTAAAATAGTTATTATTTAATTGTGAATTATATAAGCCAATATCTTAAGGAAAAATTCTCATTTTATACACAAATGTAGAATGCATTGTTTAAATAAATAACTAGTTTTTCACTAACATATTATTTAAAAGTAATAGGAGAACAATCTATTTGTTGTATTGATTTGTTGATGGGTGATGCCAAACTGATATCTAATTTGTATATTGCAAAATGATTTAATAAGCAATCACCACACAACCAAATGGTGTTTAATATTATAGTAGCTTTTAATAATCAATTTTAATAAGGATCACACAATTACCTTTAACCTCTGGGCTGAAAAAAATGTAGACAATATTCAAATTAATTTGGGTTTTTAGGAAAATTTGGATAAAAACGTTCTTCTGTACATCTTTTTTATAATTTGTTGGTCTAAATAAAGCACATAACACTCACCAGATCCAACATTTGCTCATCACAATTAAAAATATGTAAACATTAACCATCTTACCTACAAATAGCTAAATTATTATCTATAGAACATTCTTCATTTTCTTTACAAGGTTTTGTTTTCTCTCTTGCTTCACAAGTTAAGATTGGCACTGTTGGTAATAAATGAACATTATGTTGCTCGGACACTTTTACAAAATACATATACTAAAAATATAGGTATCAATTTTCTACCTCTATACCATAGAAAGACCAGACCATTTTCTAAAACATCTTCCAATGAATAGAACTATATTTGTGTGTGATTAAGAAACACATTAACAAATCAGGTTAATCATATTGCATCTATTTTTTTCCCTTCTGTTTTTGTTTAAAACATAGCTAGACATAAATGCATACACATGTATCTAATACATTTAACTTTTTTAAATTTTGAAAATTACTAAAACAAAAGCATACACAAGTTTGTAGCATAAATTACCACACAAAAGACAAAAGAACATTTGTACATAATTTAAGGTAATTTTTATCTATTTAATTTTTTGTTTTGTTACAAATATTCTTAAATTTAGTTTTTTTTGACAATAAACCAATTAGTTAAATATAGCATTTCTCTTAACAAAACAAAGTACTTGGAAAAAGTGAAAGTATAATACACAACCACAGTGACAGAAAATACTGCAATTTAAAAAAAATAAAATAAAAAATATTGTCTAACCAGGTTTTTTGTCAACAGTTGCTTCAAGTACATAAACTCTCTGGCCATCAATATTGATTCCCTTCTCCATGACAGACTGTAGGGCTTTACCAAGCTCATCATTTGGGTTAATGCCTTCAGGTTTTAAAAGTGTAACATTGGCATCGACAATAAGGCTGCCCTTTCTGTGTGGTGGATTAATTAAAATTCATATAAAAATATACATTTAAAAAAATTTTTTTTTATACATATTCTTTTTTTTTACTATATAATAGAATAAATGATAGTCTGATTATTTAGTCACATGATACTGGCCTCAGATTGATTATATTGAAGTTAATAATGAGAGAACTGTTCTGTTTTAACAATTTCAGCATCTGTGAAATCAATCAAAATTGTTTTGTTAAAATAGGCATCCATTTGTATACATCTATAAATCTGGTGATTTGTTATTGGGTGGATTCTTGTTTCTTTAATTATCTAAATAAACATTGTTAGGATACTGGTTAAAAATATCATATGCTTCTGCAATAAGGAGTTAATGAGGCTACGCTTTGTTAGGAATGTATGAAGTTTTAGTAGTTAATTTATCTCTCATTAAATTAAATCAAAATAAATTTAAACGTAATTAGTATTATGTTATATCTATTAATCCAGTAACATTAAAAATATTACAACATATTTACTTGAATTTCAACATCATTTTTTATTTTTTTGTAGTCATCTGAGTTTTTGTCTTGAAGATTTTTAAGGGTCACATCAAAGTTGAAGGTAATGGACATATAAATTTCACGATTTATGAATTGTGTAGAGGGGGTGGAAGCAGTCGTCATTACTGAAATAGTAATTTAAACAGAAAGTGATATTTCAAAGCCAATCAGCACTACAAAATAGAGCTTTCTTGACTGATCACTATCACAGCTTGTACACAGAAGACGCAGATAGGCATGAACTCTGAACCCGAAAGGTACCAACTGAAGTGGTTACATGTCTGACTTAATGCATAAAAGGCGAGGTCACTTGGTGCTGTGTGGAATGGTAGGTTCGGATCCCGCTTGGTTAACACTGCTCTGTCTTTACTTGGACTATATTCTGTACCTGTCTCTAACCTTAGCACATTATAAATTCTGTCAAGTTTTAAAAATAGTTGTTACAATTTTTATTTTACCTGATTACTCCATTTCTGAATAATTTGTGTATAATTGTGCCACAATTAAAAAAAACAAAACTAAATATTAATTTTTACAACTTTAAAGTCTGGAATAATTAATTACTATGTTTAATGTTACTGTGTTATTAAATATTCAAATATCACTACAGATATACAAAAACTGTGTGTAGGGGCTAACACAAGATACAGACTACTGTATGTAAACACAGACAACTTACCATTGCATTTATTGTTATCCAGATAAACATAACCTTCATCACAAGAGCAGTTATACCCTCCATCATTGTTAATACAGTGAGAATGTGCTGGACACAAATCAGATGTTTGATTACATTCATCAATGTCCACATCACATCTGGTTCCATTCCATCCAGTCTTACAGACACAGCTACCATTTGTTTTATTACACAGGTGAGTGTTGGATGCTACACAGGTACAGGTGTGAGAGCAGTCTTGGCCCCATTTGCCTTCAGGACATTCTAGACAAAAAGTTTATGGAAAAATATTATTTAAAAAAAATGCTGGTAAAAATGTAAAAAAACAACAACACATGTATATGCATGCTTATTAAATAAGTATTAAAAATAAAAACAAGCTTATGCTTATCTATGAAATAATATAAATCTACCTTCACATTCACATGTGTCACATGACTTTGAGTAACCAATCCTGCAGGAGCATTCATAGCCTCCATCTTTGTTTACACAGACTTGCAGTTTACCCTGACTACATGTGTGTGTACCTTCCTGACATTCATTGACGTCTGTCTCACAAGCTGGTCCACGCCAGCCTGGCTTACAGTAGCAGCTGCCATTGACATTGTTGCATGCAGCGTTTGGTGGACAAGAGCAGCGGAGTGTACATGCTGGACCATAGAGGTTTTCATCACAGGCTGTTGAGAAAGTTAGACAAATAAATATAAAAAAGTGTTTAGAAAATAAACAATATCATAGCTGATGTTTCAAACTTAGAGTTGTTTGTCTTGAACAACATTATTTTAAAAAAGCAACCATTTAAAAAAAAATTGTACAAGATTTTCTTATTATTTAATATATTAATTATTCATCATTGTATTTACTATGGACCTCCTTCTACAAAATATTAAGTTTCATGTAGGCAAACATTGTAAAATGTACCTATTTTATATGAACATGGGCACATAAGCATGATAAACATAAACAAAGACTGCACATTTATCATGCTACCATACCTTGACAAGATGTCTGGTTTGTGTTGACATAGCCATCATCACAAGAACAAACATGGCCTCCTGGTGTGTTGATACAATGTGAGTGAGCATAGCAGATATTGGAGGCTTTACACTCATCAATGTCTTCTTCACAGCTGCTGCCATTCCACCCACTCTTACAATGGCAGTCGCCAGATTTTTTATCACAAAATTGTGTGTTAGATGTGACACAGTTGCATGTGTTGGTGCACCCTAGCCCCCAAGTGCCCTCATTACATGCTGTAATATAAATTTAGACAAGTTTTGTTGAAAATTGATTGAAAAATTTATCTAAGTATATTTTTTGATAAGTATTTCAAGGATTATGTGACTTACAGTAAAAATGTTTATTACCTATAAACATCTTGATGATTAATATTACTCAGTTAATAAACATTTAATTTAGTAAACATAAACAGACACAAACCTGTGTATTAAAAGCATATTACATTGTATTAAAGATGTGTTTAACATGTTATGTATAGTTTTCAGGTTTACAGAGTAACATCTGACAAAAATGATTCAATAATTCCTTGCACACATTTATTTTAAATAAAAATCATAAAATGCATAACAATGAAAAAATCAGTTAAACCAATATTGCAGTAGTAAACTATTTTACATTACAATACCACTTCAAAATGTGTATCTATGATATTTTTGAATAATTTTCTTGCTAATTTTTTTAATGCAAATCTACAAACCTCCATACATTTTGAGTGACTGAAACCTACCAGAACAAGTGAGTCCATTAGAATCCAACTTTTCTCCCAGCCCACACACACATTCAATGCTGGTGTTGTCTCTGGTCTCAACACAACCAAAGCTACATGGGCTGTTGGCACATAGGTCTACATCTGTTGGGTTTAGTTTAATTTTTGGGTTTAGTTTACAATTTTAAAATGTAGGTATATTTATGTTTGGGCTTAGTTCACAGCTTATTTGAACATTAAATATGCTTGCATAAAATAGATTCTGAATTAATTTGGAATGATACACTGATTTGATTTTATAAGAATTTTCTTGAGATTAGACTTTCCCTGGTGAAATTTCCCCACTCTTTTACTGATCTCAAATTAATCTTTATTGCAAATTTTTTTCAAACCTTCACAAGTTTTCTTATCAGCTGCCAAACTGTTTCCCTTGGGACACAAACATGTTTCTAGCTCATTTAAAACGGCGCATTGGTAGCTGCAGTCTCTCATGGTGGTGCATGGTTTTGTTGCTGGAAAAATAAATAAAAATTAGTCGTGAAAATGCAATAAAGGATTAAATTTACTTGACATCAGTTGTAAATTTAAATTACTGTTAACAATATTCATTTATTTAAATTAAAATTTCTGACCTCTACAAGTGAGTCCATCTTGTTGGAGGTACAGGCCAGATGGACAGGAACATCTGTAGCTTCCTTCTGTGTTGATACAAGTCTGTTCACATCTGGATAATCCTAGTTGACACTCATTTATGTCTGGGAGAAATAGGTGGAAAACAATACTCAACTTAATGCAATACTTAAATCTGTGTATTCAATATTTAAAAAGGTTCAGTTGTTTTGGATCTATAACATTTAAAACAATTCAGAAATTTATTAGCCTGCATTTGATTGAAGGCCTATTTCTAGGTATTAAAACATTGTTTAATGTTAATATGGTATTTTGTTAAACAACATTAGAAATTATAAAAGTTTATTCAAATAAAGTGATCCTACCTTGGCACACCTGCGTTGCTGTATCAAATGTGTACCCAGCATAACATGAACAGGTAAACCCTCCTTCTACATTGGTACACACCTGATTGCAATTGTTGGTGGACATCATCTCACATTCATTCATGTCTGGACAGAATTAATATAGTCAGCCTTACTTAAATTAAAATCATAAACTTAATGTTTATCAAATATAATCTTGTTGAAAAGCTGAAGTTACCTTGACAAATTTCATCTTTTCTAATGTAGCCATTCAGACACTCACAGGTCGCTGATCCAGGCAGATTAACACATTTTTCTTTAGCTTCACAAGTTATATTTCCACTGCTACATTCATCAATGTCAACAGTGCAGTATTTTCCTAACAGAAAGAGAGCTTTTAATTTGGTGAAAAAAACTAGAAGTATTAAATAGCATTAGAAATTTGGTTGATAAATTCAATTAAAGAATGGAAAAAGCTAAAAGTTAAAATACAGTTAAAGTTGTTCCTGTACCTGTGTACCCATGTTTACAGACACAACCAACTTTTGGATCACAGTGATCTGCCCCTGACCCACAGCCACAAGACTGAGAACACTGAATGCCCCAGGTGTCTCCAGCACACTCTGAAAATGTAAACATTCAGCAGTTGAAATTATTTTTAAAAACCTGTCGGCCGACTTGCTATAAATCTTTAACCATTTGTTATAAATCACACTCTTTAACCACCAGCCTGGCTATTAAAAAATTAGCACCATAGGCCTGTACATTGCAATGTTGATCCTCACCAATACAAGAGCGACCATCATTGTCCAGCTTGAATCCTGCCGGGCAGGAACATGTGTAGCTGCCATTAGTGTTTACACATCCAAATTTGTTTGAACAATGGTTGTATTCATCTGACTCACATTCATTGATGTCTGACATATAGCATGTAAAATATCATTGCATGTTAAATAATGATTTGTATTTGAATTTAAATAATAATAAAACATAATCTGAAATTGGGGCCTATTACATCTGAAAAATATTTGTCATTTCAAAATTATGAACAATAAGGCAAATTACATAATAATAGTTATCTATTTTTTAAAGTAGTATTTCTCTTTTTATTTGTAATAAGCACTAGGCCATGCATGGAGCTATTTCTCTTAAGAAGAATAAAGCAAGAGAGTGTTTTTCAATGTACAAAATATTTCCTAAATTCTTTTATTATTATGGATGGAAATAACTTATACTTTTAAAAACTTGTTACCAATTAATAGTGATTCAATGAATTTTAACACTTATGTAAGTTATTTGAAAAACTTAATTAAAACAACAGTAAATGAAATTATGATGTGCCCTATTAGGTTAAGTGTCACATGGTGCAGTAAATTAGAGTGTTATCAGATCCCCATCCAACAATATTTCTTTTTTGGTTTGGTGTCATTCTTATCCCTAATTTATTATTATTTTAAATGGATAAACAATGTTTTGATAGTAAATTTGACTGCTTTTCCATTTGGAGTCACTCCTAAATAATGTCACCCCACTCCCCCACCTTGTGACACTATCTTGTAGCCCCTACCTATGATGTACTTACCTTCACAATTTTCTGGTCCAGTGAGTCTGTATCCTCTGGGACAGTAGCAGTAAGGTTTGTTATCAACATCCACAGCACAGCCATAGCTACAGTTTAGGTGTAGTCCTTGACATGGGTCTCTCACTAGAATATAGATGGGTGATTAGCATACATTTGTATAGAGTTCCTTGAATTACTGTAAAATAATTATGAATTCATATTACTAATAGATTTTTTAAACCATAATGAACTAGGCAACAACCTTACTTTTTATAGTCATGTCTAGTTGTTTTAACTTATATGAAGAGAAATTTTTAAAATCCTACACAACACAGAGAATGTCTTTTACAGAAAATGCAATATTTAATAATTGTGCAGTATTGTAATCACAACTTTAAGATTGACAAAATAATTAACAACTATATAGTTACCTTTCAGACATGACAAGCGATCATCTGCCAATGTGTAGCCTTGTCGACACAAACAGTTATAAGACCCAGGTTTGTTTTCACACACCTGTTCACATTCATCAGCATTGGTCAAACATTCATCAATATCTGAAACAATAGAGGTCATGTAACATTGGTCATACATGCATTAATATTTGAATGTAATAGGTCATGTGACATATGTGACTAATCATTACCTGAAAATTAATTAATTCAAATTATTATTCATAGATTATAATAATACATTAAAATTTAAAAAAAAATTCTAGTTTTAAGTTTTATCAGCATTGAATATTTAATTCACCATTATTAGATTAAATAAAAAAGTGTACCTTGACAAACAGCTAGAGAATTTCTGGCAAATCCTTTCTTACACTGACAGCTGTAGCTGCCCACTGTGTTGACACAAACCTCCAGCATTTTGTCACAAGTTGTGTTGACAAAAATATCTTTACATTCATCAATGTCTGGGGAGAAAAAATTATGGCTTACTTTAAATACAAAAAACATTAATTGTAATATGCCTTCTAAAACCATTCATGTTATTAGATAAATTTGACTAAGGTAATAAAATAATTGGTAAATTTAATTTAAGTACATAATTAAAATACATAAATATTATCTATCCATTTAAAATATATGTAACAGTACATAGCATTGGTGACTTCATTAAGTTATGAATAGACAGACCAAAGTGAGCTACTACCTGTACAGATTCCATTAGTTAACCTGTAGCCCTCAGCACAGACACAGGTGTATGAGCCAATTCTGTTTTTACAGACAAAACCAGCTGGACATGGGTTGGACTGGTCACACTCATCAACATCCAGCTCACAGTGGTCACCTTTCCACTCTTTGTCACAGACACAACCTCTGACAGGGTCACATGACCCATGGCCACTACACTGGCAGATTTGGGCACAGTTTGGTCCATAGTAGGGTCTTTCACATGCTGAATAAAGTATTGTTTATATAGCAATTTTAAAAGAAAGCACGGCATTCAAGCTTAATTTTAATTAGATAATTAGGCCTACAAGAAAATGAACTTTGAACTTAGCGACTGTGGTTTTAAAAAGCAATTAATGTCAATTAAAACATTTTAGTCATAATAAAATAGTTTTGTAAACCTTATTATATTTTTTTTTTAGAAATTTAGGTTTTTCAGATTTTTAATGTCTAGGCCAATATCAGCGGTAAAAATAAAAATAGACATTTGAATTTTTTTTTTGAAATTCTTTAAATAATTTGAAAAAAAAATTAATTACATGCAAATGTCTTAAATCTTTACTAATAACTATTTTAAGTAATTTTTATTTAGAATTAAAAGAAACAAAAATAACAAATGATATTAACATACGGGATTTTTTTCTAAAAAATTATTTATTCATGAAATAAAATAACCTATTATCTCACCTTGACAGGAAATCCCATCACTGTCCAGTTTGTAACCATTATAACATGAGCATTCATATGTTCCTTCAAGATTTTCACAAATCTGGCTACATGGTTTGTTACCATACTCACATTCATTTATATCTGTGGAAGTGGAGCCCAGTTCTATTTATAGGCTTAGTCAAGTGATTAAACACATTTCAGAGAAAAATAAAGTTAAAATCTTGAATGTCTGGTTCTAGTAAATAAACTATTATATTAATATAACCTAAAATATCTTTTTTTTTATTGTTTAAGAAAAAAAGATATCTAGTGATAAGATAATTATTTATAAATTTTTTCCATGTAAGGTTGTGTTTGTGTGAAGATGATTAAATTAAAAACTAGATACTGTACATTAAAAATAAAGGATATTTAAAGAAAAGTAATCAATTTAGAATATATTGATATGAATTTTATAAAAAATGACATATTTTAACAGTTTTAATTACCTCTACAATTACTGTTATCTTGAGGATCAGGTTCAAACCCCAGCCTACAGCTGCAATTCACCTGATCATTGTTGACATAACAAACCTGGTCACAGTCATAACATTGGCTAGTTAAAGATCCATCTGATAATGAAAAATAAATGTGTTACATTAATCTACAGTGTCAGGTACTGAACAAATAAATATCAGATTATAAACAAATATTACTTCATAATGTTAATGGTGCTGATGTATCATTTCACATGAACACACCAAAAAGTGAGTTAGACATAATTGTTTTGTAACTACCTAAAGTACAAGTGAGACCATTGCTGTCTAAGGTGTATCCAGTCTGACATGAACAAGTGTAGTTGCCAGCTGTGTTGGTACAAATCTGTTGACATTTGGATGATCTCTCCTCACATTCATTGATGTCTAGGGGGATTTCGATAATATTTAAAGGTTGTGTTAATGTTGAAATTGTATTACTATGTTTACATCAACATATTATGATCTTTACTTTAACCTATTCATGTTTTTATAGAGTGTATGTAAAATTCTTGTCTTCACCTGTGCAAGTTTTCTTGTCTCCAGTATCCAGCCTGTAACCAGGTCTACATGAGCACATGTAAGAGCCTTCAGTGTTTGTACAGGTTTGGCTGCACATGCTTTCATCACTGCACTCATTTACATCTGTAATAGTTTATTAGTAATACATTTTTAAGGTATTGTAATAAAACAATATTACAAATAATAAGATGTTAACTTTATTAGTAGGCCTTATGCCTAATGTAATACTTTAAAGAGCTACTAAAATTTTCAAAAGATTTTATAATTATATGCAAATTCTAGATATTTTCACCTAAACATATCTTTTGATAGTCTACAAAACCAGGAGGACATTTCCCACAAACATAACCAACTGAGTTGTTTCCCTGTTGTTGAGCTGTTAAATCTGTGCAGTTCTGTCCCTTGGAGCAAGGTTTTATAGCACAAGCATCCAGTTCTGATTCACATTCAACTCCTGTGTGATAGAATTTGTAGTAAAGTAAAAACAGACAACATATATACATTTGTAAGTGTCTCTACAATTTAAAAAGTTCATGCAGTTAAATAGATATTTTAAAACTCAAAATTGTATTGTTTTTAGATTGGCATAGTTGCACTAACAGCTCTATAATTATAGTATATTTTAATGTGTAGGGCTATTTCATTCTATACTTCACATTAGTTATCATTAATTTTAAGACAAATTTTGTGTTAGGACTTTATGAAAATTAAATGAATACAGAAAGTATAATTTGTTAAAATGTATCATAAAAGATAAAACATGAATATCTACCTGTGTACGCTGGATGACAACTACAGGCCAAGATCTGGAACATTCCATTAAAAATTTCCTCTCTAGTTCTATTTATATCACAAACACCATGACCACTACAGAGTGGGCAAACACTAACTGGGATGTACAACAGTGGAGAGTAGGCTCCCTTGGCGTCTTTGACACGAACTCTAGTTTATTAGATAAACGTTAATAATTTCATTTATGAAGATCTATATACTATTAGGTCAATAATATATAAACCATAATTATTTTACAAAAGCAAAACTTTAAATACTCTTCTTATGTAGTCCTTAATCTGAAAAACAAATAAATTAAAAACGTAAAAATACTAACTGTATAGCGACAGGTTTCTTGACATCTGGTGTGTAGGTGATAACCCCATTCTTATCGACCTTGACATCTGTGATGTTTCCACTCAGATCAAATGTGACGTCATCTCCATCCCCATCTATTCCTTCAACTTGTAAAGTTGATTGTGTCCCTTGTTTTACATTCCATCTGCCTCCGTTGTTTAGTGTTTCTTTCAGTGCTATGGCTGGAGGGTTGTTTTCTAATCACATTAGAAAAAGAAGAGGATAATTAGGTTCTGAATGATGCAAATGGCATATTAAAAAGTTTGTTTTTAAAATAACACTATTAATATCGCTGTTTACAAGTAGGTTTTTATCGTAATTATCTTTAATGTTTTTATTTGGTTGCGAAAATTAAAACTTTAAAATTAATCAAAATAAAAAGTATGCCACGACTATATATGTCAATAGTTACGATAATTTATATTCAGTTTAGATTTAAAAACACCGAGCTTAAATTAAACTTGGTTGATAAAAATATAATTGCTTTGCCTACAAAAATTGTAAGTTAATTACCCAAATTTTGAATGATGACAACCATTTCATCAACTGTGGATTTAGTGGCATCAGCAAATCTCTTGTCCCCAGTCACCAAATAATCAAAGATACACGGGTCGTTTTTACTGCCACAGATTTCAACAGCTTTGGCCACTTCTGTTTCATTAGCTTCATCTCTAAACCAGGGCACGTGATCTGGGTGCTGGTAGTCTGATAGAGTTTTGCCTTGCTCGAATTTATAAACACAGTTGGAGGAATTCACAAGCCCTGGAGTGGACATGGTAAAAAAAAATTATTCATTATGGTGAAAAATGGAATATACAAATAATTACAAAATTCAAGATGATTTATGGCCTTAAAATAAATTCATACTGTTATTAAAATATTAAGACTGTCTGGATTTCCTATAAACAACATATATTTTTTTTACTAAAAAAGTATTTACATAGTTTAGCAAACTGGGCGTAGATTTCCCTTTCACTTAAGTTTGATGAAAGAACTTGTCCATCAGGGAGTATGAACTCATCTGTCTTGATACCATTAAAGTTTCCTAGCAAACCTCGAGTTTTGTTTTGGAGTTCCTTAGAGACTTCAAACATAATCTCAAGACTTCTCACAGCAACATTCACTTCTATGCTGACACCTAAGGATAGAATCCAACAATAATGTGTATTCAAGGAAGAGCATAAAATAAAACTTTGAATTGAACACAAGCATTTTTACGCCTTAACAGTATCCACTATGAAAATGTATAAATTATAAGTTGAATTCATTTAAAAATAACCACTTTGTTGATGAATGTTGTCAATAATTGAATGTTGTTAGTTTATTCTCTTGCACATGCAACATGTGTACCGTATGTACCTAATAGTTGTAGAGATTGTGGCAAATTAGTATGAAGAGATTTTTAACTGATTGAAAAACATTTAACTCTTTGTGTATTACCAAAGTCATGTCATCCCATAGAAAGATAATGTTCATTTTTGCCTTGACTTCTAGATATTAAAAGTGAGTAAGCTATTTGTCTTAACATCTGTATTTGTAACCATAATCATCAAACCTTTAGAGATGATGGGATTAGAAGCCTATTAAAAAACAAACTTATTTGCGTTAATAACACTAAAAAAAGAAGTGACCTGTGCACACAGTTAAGAAATAACTTATCAGTTTTTGTGTTTCAGGATCTCTCAAGTATTAGTCACTAGTTCTCTCCCTTCCTACAGTTTTTATATTTTATTTTTATTTACCTTACATAATACTAAGCCTAGTCTAGAACACACCAACATAAAAACTCAACCTGAGGCAAAACTGGCCACTGCTATAGTCTTATTGTTTCTGTATTCCCTGATCACGCTTAGAGAGTTAGTGGACACAATAACATCTGAGTCAACTTTCTTGTAGAAATCATTTGTGATATCGATACCATTGACCCACAGCAACATGGCTGGAAAATACAGAGATGAAAGAATATTAAAATACTAATTATTCCATTGAAATTATTCAATTCTAATTTTAAAATAAAATAGATTATTATGAAATGTCCAAATGGTAATTTAAGTACATTATAAAAACTAACATGTATTAGATGCAGCCAACTCAATTTGGAAGTGTGTATCCTTAGACTCTTGACCTGCAAATCCTGTAAAAACTGTGGCGTTGGTTAAAGTACCTGAGCTGCTTTCTGCCTGCGATGTCTTGGCCTTTATTGAAAGAACAGAAATGATAGTTAAAGTTATAAAATTAAATGAAAATTAAAAATTTAAATGATTCAATCATAGAACAAAATAATAAAATACATGCTATTTTATTGCAATATGATAGATAGAAAGATTGCTTTTTAAATTTAAAATATAAGTAGTTAGACCAACTTGTAAAGTAAACTGATTGTCCATTGTCTTGATCATGGTAAAAATACCAAGCCCATTCATAGCATAAGTGACACCATCCAATGTTGTAATGTGAGGGTCGCCCAGTGCAGAAGCTATAGGCATAGATTTTTATTTAAAAAATTAGTAGCAATCAATTATAAAAAAAACACAATATTTTATCTGAAGTTTAGTACTAACCTGGCACAAATTCAACAAAATTTGAACATCCCATATCTGGAAAAATCTGGTAAAACTGGTTACAAAGTTTGACTTGACTAGAGTCTACACAACACCATTGGTGTGCTTGTATGTTTTCTAGAGCTTGAAAGTTATCAAAGTATCCCAGTTGCCAAGGGTCATTGACCAAAACATGTCCAGAGTCTGGGGATGCTGGGATATAAAAAGCTTCCAGCCATGATTGTTGCCAGTCTCTCCAATCGCCATTCGCTGGTTTTGTCCAATGGTAACAGCACAGCTAGAAAAGGTTAATATGTCTGATAATCCACAATGATAAGTGTATATAAGTCAAATCTAAATGAACTAAAATAGTATTTGAAACCAATTTTCCTGTACAATAATTTCAAATATTCACCATATTCCTTTTGTTTCCCTGCAACAACCTGAACTTAGCCAAACTGCTGATGGCGTAGCAGTAAACATCTTGTTTCTCCCCACGTCTCTCATAGAGCTGCCACTGACGCCCAAGTCTCTCCAGTGTACAGGGACACTTGTACAGCTGACGCTTCTCAAACTCATACACAGGGTCAGTCAGCAGGTCAGCGTGTTGACACAGATATTTCTCACACATCTGGTCTGGCCCAGACACCTTACCCACTTCAAAACTTATGACACCGTTCAAACCTAAAAATCAGAATCAAGCGAAGTCGCAGTTGTAAACCTACTAAAAATACACTTTTCTTTCTATTTAAGCCTGAGAAATAAAATTTATGACACCATTCAGAACTAGGATAGAATATATAATGAATTAATTTTTACAATGAAATCTTGACACACTTATTCATATTACAAAAGCTATATATTTTTTTCAAATAAACTCATCTTAACTAAAAACTTTTAAATAAAATATGGAAAATTATGGAGTATATATATATATATATATATATATATATATATATATATATATATATATATATAATTACCTGTATTTCCAGGTACTTTATCCAAGTTACCAACTAGAGGCGTGTCCAGGTCATTTAGTGTTTTCATATTTTTACCCACAATACCAACAGCTACAGGTCTTCCTGGTACATAGTCCCAAAACATTTTTCCTTGCTGATATATGAAAGTGACATAGGATGTTTTCTCATCTGTAAAAATATAATAATTATTTATTTTAATTTTTGAATCATAAAACAATCATTCTTTTATTTTTTAAGAGTTACTGAAATAAAAATATAACAACATACTACATTCAGGTTTAATGATTTTTAACAATAGCGCATAAGCTAATTGAAAAAAATAGCAACATTTAAAGCGTGATTAAATTTTAAAACATCTTTTACCCAATAATATTATTTGTCCTTGTTTGTTTATTGTTTCCCATCCACTGACAATAATTGCTTGAAAAGTGTTTACTTTAGAACCCTGAGATTAACAGGCATCAATTAATTATTGATAGAATGATGAAATTTGAAAAACATACACATTTTAACTTAGTGCGTGCTAACAAAATATTAATACATTTGATTTTAGGATAAAGTCACATTATATAAAAGCAAACAATTTTATTTTATTGTTTTTAGTTTCACTTTTAAAAAAAAAAGCATTAAACTAATTTACTCATTAGGAATAAAACACGTTTTACTTTTAACAATTATTTAGCTATAACATCTGAAATTAAAGAAATTAAGAATTTTAAAAATATTATACAAAGTAGAACAGACTAAGTGTAAAAAAAAAAACGAACTTTGGAAGAACTCGAGTGTGGTTGAACATTCTCCCATGTGACAATCAAAACTGTATCTAATTCAATCCCAGAGAGGTCATGAAACTTTGCTATGTCTTCTTTCGCTCTCTTTGTCACATTGCTAAATTCTGGTGAGCTATGACTGGCTGCATTGCCGCAGTTTTCATAAAGATGGTAATACACTTTTCCTTAATGACAGAGAATAAAAGAACGTAGTGATTACGAAATTTATAAAATATCTCGCGTGGGAACCAAATCAATGCATAAAATGTGCTGGTGAAGGTTTTGTATTACCTTCACTCTAAAGATTGTAGCATAAATTAATATAAATAATATAATAGTTTATTTAAAAATATTATTTATATGATTTTTATATACATTAAAAAACATATTGAAATACACAAATATTTATCAATGTGCAACCCATTTTTCCAAAATTTAAATATAATTTATAATACAACCATTTCCAAAACAAATACATTTTCTTTCCTTAATTTGGCCAAGAAAAACCTCTCATATCTATAGTCTGAATAAGAAACCTAATTATAATTAACCGTGGCGTAGCGAGGTCGGGTGTAACCCGGTGCGGCACTTAATGGTGTAACCCCCCAGAGGCGTAGCGACCCTTCCCGGGGACAAACTTTAAAATTTTCGATTTGCACCCCCCTTAAACTTTCGATTTGCACCCCTCCTCAAGTTTTTCTCTATATATTTTGCTATTTTTAGCCTTGATGTCACCCCCCCCCCCCCCTAAATGGGGTCACCCGGTGCGGTTCGTCCCCGTCCCCCCTCGCTACGCCTCTGATAATAAATGTGTGATTACAAAAAATACAAAAATACAAACTAGTCTGATTAAATCTGTATAAACCTATATTTAACAGCTTATGACTAATTAATTACTGTTGAGTAACTTCTAAGCAAATACCTTTCAAAGGATCCATGCCAGTCCAAAACGGAGCTATGATGTTCATTTGCATTTGCCTGACCAAAGTTAGGTCTGATAATCCACTTAGCTCAGTTGCTTGTTGACCAAAGCTTATCACACCATTAGAGAACACCTGTGGAAAAAAATGTTAAACATATTGGTAGAGTACGAGTGTCTATTCAAGAAACTGTCACAGATACAGCGTGATACTCTATTTATTTGAAATCTGATAAAGTGAAACTATTAAAAAAAACTAAATTAAGATCGTAACACAAAGATTTAGAGTTTCAGGTTTATTTATAAGAGAAAATGACAGTAAAATTCTAATAGTAACTTACCCTAGCTCCAAATGTATAATCTTCTTCAAACGGAAGTCCACGGGAAAACATTATTGGCTGGCTAACAGAATATCCCCTAAACATTATTTGGTTATCTAAAACAATGTCTTGAGCTCTTTCACCATAGGGATAGAAGGGAACTGGAAATAAAATTTATCATATTATAGATAAAGAACTGTATTAAAACATTATTGGTAAGTGAAGCCAGGAATTTGTTTTTTTATTGTATATTAATTAAAGGCTGAATAATCATTTTAATTGTATTTTGATACTCTATTGTAAAGTAAAATACTAAATAAAAAGCTGCAAAATAATAAATAAAACTAACTCTTCATCTTTTAAAATAAAAATATGCAAGACAAGGTTTTCACGTTGTATATTTAATAAAAAATGTCAGACAAAAGAATTAAAACGAATTAATAAACGATACTTATTTAAACTAATCATATTTTGACTTCATTTATTTATTTTTCAAACTCATGTTTAATGTATGAAATAAATTAATATGATTTTATAATTAATTTAATTATCTAAGCTTGCTGTAATGTGTTATATTACTTTAAAATAGGAGAAAGTAAGCTGTCAACATACCAACACATGCCAGCTGTTGTTTCGATTCTAGCACCAGTCCTTCAGGACAAACACATTTCTCCACCCCAGGACTTTCAATATAGCAAGCATGGGAGCAATGTTTGATGGTACAGTCAGAACTTGCTGAAATATTTAAAATGTTGTGTTTTTCAATGATAAAATAACTTCTTTCTGCACACAAGGTTGGAAGAATTTAGATTGTGTTGTGACTTACCATCGCATGTTTTGGTTGTAGAGTTGTACACATATCCCAGGTGACAGTCACACCTGTAGCTGCCCAGCAGGTTGACACAGTCCGAGTTGTCTGGACACACCTTGTTGTTGGTACCCAGACATTCATTGACGTCAACAGAACAATCCCTCATGGTCCAGCCAGGCTTACAGATACACTCGCCATTGGTGTTGTCACAGAACTGGCTGTTTTCTCTCACACATTTACAGTTGGTGTCGCATGAGGTCACGCCGTAGGTAAAACTGCGACATTCTATGTTCAGTTGCAAACGTAAAAACGTAATAATATATATATATATATATATATATATATATATATATATATATATATATATATATATATATATATATATATATGGACAAATATATTAGGACAGGACACATGATCTCTAGGACAATAGACATAAGTACAAAATATTTCAAGTCAAATTATATCATGGACAAATAGACCTCAGACAAAATACCTCAAAATATTTATAATGTTTGGAATAATAAGTTGAAAGTCCCGTCTTTGTCACGCAAGTTGATGAAACATAATATTGTTATTCAAGTTTTTGTTCAACTTACTGTGTGATGTATATGTTGCACGAAAACCAGGCCGCCTTACAGTCCAATCAGATATGAATGTGATGTACATGTTGTGTCCTCGAGTTCGTATAACACTGGGATAATCAGAGTAGCTGCAATACTTGCCAATCTGCCTGTCATATGGGCTTACGCCGTCAAACACTTCTACGTAATCATAGGAACATTTTGAAGTAGCTTCCAGGTTAAAACTTAGGAATCTGCAAAAGGATAACTTCATGTAATAATTAGGGCTAAGCGGATGACGATTAGGTTTATCAGTTGATGTCTAATAACGATAGTATAAGTAATAGTCTTTTTAGTTGTTTTTTTGGGATTTGAATTAGGGTTGGCATTAACATTTGGCTTAGTAAATTTGTAGTAGTATTGAGGTTATTTTATATAACTGCAATTCAGTTAAGTGGTTAAAAGTTTAGGCAATGAATTTTTATATCGTGTAATAATCCACCAAAGTTTGTTTTGATTACAGCTCTCAAGTTACATCGATATAATGTTTGTGTTCATATCCATTTATTTGAGTTGTGTCGCTATTATTTAATGCTTGAGCACTAAACACTCAGGAAAAAAACTTGAACCTATTAACATCGCATTGAACTCATCCTTGATAAATTCTAGAAAATTTTCAAAACGAAACGAAATGCCACAAAAATAATGACATCAGCGATACTCGATGATAAAGACACTAACATTACCGCCTTAAGTATTGGTCTAATCTTAAACGTGTTCTGCATATATAGTTTCTTTTAGGCATCTCGTTGGGTAAGGGAAGGGGGGGGGGCTCTTTATCGCCCCATCCCCGAAATGTAATCCACCCACCCTCCCCAAAATAATTCGAGTGTCCCCCTTTCCTAGAGAAAAAATTCTGAAAGAAACACTATCTGCATGAGTAAGATTAAGTGGACAAAGATAGGAAAAGGGGCTAGATTATAGAAGTAAGGTCTATCTTTAGCCTGTATAATCTACATATGCAACCCGTGTTTCTTTCAGACTGTTTCTCCCCAGGGGGGGGGGAGGGGAATGGGCACTTGAAATTTTTGAGTAAGGGGGGGGGGGGGGAATTAGTGTACTAAATTACCGGGGCTCGAGGCGGACACTGGTAAAAGTATATTTTCTATATAAATTCTATTTTGTTATAGGGGTGAAGAGTTGCCTGAAAGAAACTCTAAATGTGACTTTTGTCAAGTTTGAGCTTAGGTGCAAGGTTTAGAGGTATGGCAACAACTATATTTAGTATGAATGTGCAGTAGCTACGTGTAGGTCAATGTTAAATCCGGCCAAAATGCCGATTTTGAAATTAAAACCCCTGTTCAATGACATTTTTGTTTTCGGTTTAATTTCAAGTTGAGGTGTCCATACTGCATCAACATAATAGGCCGTTTAATGTTGATTTTCACCGAATTGTGTATGATTGTAGATTAACACATTTTTTATAGCAATTTTATGGAACAAACAGGCGAGGCTTCTAGACTAATCAGCCAAAAATATTGGTTAGTTATGTTTTTTGTTTCGAAAATTGAATTACGCTTGTTATTATCTTTGAAAACCTAGAAAATTAGAAATAACGATTACATTCATATTTAAAATGCCATTATAATAGCTTCATCAATACTAATAATCCTCAAGTTTGAATGTTAATAAAAATGTTTTAAAAATTTACTTTTGGTTAAAAAGCGTAAGTTTATCTTTTTTATTTTTACTAAACACATTTTATGTCGTTTTATGTTTGAAGATTTTGCCTTGAAGATTTTTACATTTCTAACAATTTTAAATTATTTAAAAAAAAAGTAATTTGACACATTTTCGCCTAATATCATGCTAAATCTAAAGAATGCTGAGTATTCTGGTTCTGATAGTGAACCATACATACACATTTTTTTCCACATAATGGAAAGCATTTGGGGCTGCCACGTTGAAAATGAAGACGTTATGAATAGACAACTCCAAATGCAAAGCTACCTTAAGGACACGACACTTCCTTCCTCAGCACTGATCAACCAAGAACAGTTGGCGTTGTTAAAGTAATCCAATGGGTGATTAGGGCTTGTTATAATGCCAGATGTATTTGACAATGTAGAACTGCAATCTAATTAGAAATAATCACATAATCATGTTAATTTTTTTACAATGATTTTAACGGATACGAAAGTGATTAATTAAAATAGCTGTTGCGTTTCTTTAGAAATCCTTTTAGGTAAGCACGATTTTACTCTTTTTACAATAATAAGTCTTAAAGCAATACAATATTGATAGTCGTCTTTTAATTTACGACAAATTTGTAAAAAGATTAACTTTTAACCCAAGTTTTGTTTGACTGTTGAATGGACCCAATATTTTTGGGTCCGAACATAACTCAATACAGCAAGCACACCATTATAATATTAAAGTGGAAGGTCTAAAAATAGTGGAGACATCTACTTAACTGTGAAGTAGTGTTGATTTACAGGGAGAGAAAGTAAATAAGTTATCACTTAGTAACCATTTGAGAGAGAAAGAGGCCCAGACAAAGACCAACCAATGACAGAAGAAAAGATTCAGATAACAAACATTTGAAGATGTAATATGGATACAATACAAGCAAGATGAATATAAATGGGGACAGCTGGATAATCTAGAACATAATCGAGTTGCCTAGAAGGGTGTATATAAGCAGGTCTGATATGAAATTACTGACTGAGTCAAGTTTTGAAATAGTTAATAGTTGGTCGTAAAGTCGGATACAGTAACTGTAAACTATTACATTTTATAACAATGTGTAGGAGGAAACGTCTGGTTACTACCTTAGACAAAAAAATGTAAGGGTAAGTTAAATATTTACGTATTGGGATACACGACCCATTGCCAGACTCCGTATAGCCGTTTTCCTCCATACATTGACATGTGTAGCCTCCATAAGTGTTATTACAAAGTGTATAATGTGGACAGTAATGTGTGCCTAGGGTACACTCATCAACGTCCAAAGTACAAAATTCTCCAGTCCAGGGGGCCAAACAGCTACAGTTGCCAGTTCGGGTGTCACATCGAGTGTTGTTGGTCGAGGAACACGCACAATTTTTGTAGCAGTCTGGTCCGTATGTTAGATTTGGGCAGTCTACAATGTTGGAAATGGTGTAGATTTTTCTAGATCATATATGAATGAAATGCTAATAAATAAATACATTTACATTAAAAAATTGACAAACAAGAGATGCAAATTAATAAATCAACCAAGTCATCGCAAATTAATTTATCATAAGTATATTAGAAAAATGATATGAGTAGGAATACGTTGAGTTTCTTTGACACTATAACTGACTTACCAACACAGTTATCCTCAACCAACACCATTCCAATGGGGCAATAACAGTGTTCTATAGAGGCTGCATAGCTAGAAATCTTCACACAAACATGGGAACAGTTTCTTTCTGTGCAGGTATTACTACTGACTGTAGCTGAGGGCAACATATAGCAACTATATATATATATATATATATATATATATATATATATATATATATATATATATATATATATATATATATATATATATATACATATATATATATATATATATAACATAAACACAATTTATTTTAAATGCAATCATAAAGGCATATTGTTCAGTCTAGCCCATAGCGCCAAATCGCGCCCTTTCCGACACAGTGAATGACTATAAAACAGAGGCGTAGCGACCCTTTCCGGCGCCCGGGGACAAACTTTCGATTCCCCCCCCCCCCCCCCCCCCCGCTGAAACTTACGATTTGCACCCCCTCCACTCGAAATTTCAATTTCCACACATCCACCTTAAACTTTTGATTTGCACCCCCCCCTTCAGACTTTCGAATTGCACCACTTTTGATTTGAAATTCCCCCCGCTCGAACTTTTGATTTGTACCCCCCTCAAACTTTCGATTTGCACCCCCCCACCGCCCTAAAACTTTCGATTTCCACCACCCCCCCCGCAATTTTTTTCCAACCCACTTTGGCGCCCCCTAAGGTCGGCACCCGGGGACATATGCCCCCCCCCTCGCTACGCCTCTCCTATAAAACCCCCAGCTTGTCCGCAAACCGAAAGATAGAATAATAATAAATAATATACAATAAATAATATACAATAAATAATAGGCAGTATTTAAAATATCCGTGTTTTACCTACCATATATCACTTTATCAATTTACGCATTTTTTTCTAGTACTTTAAATTTTAAAAGTTTACAATAGTTTCACAACAAAACCATTGCGCACCCAATGAACGTGATGACGCGTCTATAATAATGCGGAATAGTTGATTAAAAATTAGAAGTAGTAAACAGTACATTCAGTGAATAAAATAAATAAAAGATTGCCTTTTATCAATCCAAGCTAATTATAATTTTCTAACAATAATTTCCTCTTCCACATCCGCACAGTTTTCATTCACATTTTACTAATTATATTATAGCAACACTAATTCCTTCTAGGACGCCCGTAGATTTGCATTCACATTTTTTTTTAGCGTGAGTTAAATTTATTTTTAAACTACCTCCCTTGTCAAATTTAGAAAAAAGAGTTTAATTAATTAGATTTTTCTACTCTACTGTTATTATGTTATTAAAATGTATCCACTTTTTCTGAGAATCTAAACGAAAATGATATTTGACATTAATCTTTTTAATATGTTTTAGCAGTGTGCGAGTATTTAATAATTTCTTGACGTTATGCGAAAGAGTAAAAACAGTGGAATTTATAAAATAACTGTATGTCGTTATATAAACAAACCCTACTCTACTACTTATAATAAGACACTGCGGTGCCCTGAAAAGTTCAGCATGGTGCGATGTTTACTTTTATGGTTCCAAAATCTATAGCGATGACAGAAGGAAGGACTGACACAGCCCGCTTATATTATAGATATATAACTTATATATATATATATATATATATATATATATATATATTTATATTTATATATATGTCTCACCAACACATTGTCCGCTTGTGTCCATGACCAGTCCAGGCTTACACGTGCAGTTAAAACTTCCGTTTAAGTTCTGACAATCTGAGTAGTCTGGACATGCCAAAGAGTGTTCATAGCATTCATCAATGTCCACAGAACAGTCATGTGATGTCCAGCCTGTTTTACAAGTACACTGACCATTGGCACTGTTGCAAAATTCTGTGTTTTCTTTTACGCAAATACAAGGCATCGAACAGTTTTTCGATGTCCAGCCGTCCTTACAAACGCACTGACCAGTGGCAAAATTGCAAGATTTTGTGTTTTCGTGAACACAAACACAGGGCGTTGAACAGTTTTCTGATGTCCATCCTTCCTTACAAACACACTGACCAGTGGTGCTGTTACAGTACTTGGTGTTCTCCAGGACACAGGTACATGGTGTTGTACAGTTGGCGTCGTAGGTAAAATTAGAACATTCTAAGGAAAGTATTTTAATATAAGTTCATATATAGATATAGTATGCATTATATATATATATATATATATATATATATATATATATATATATATATATATATATATATATATACATATATATATATATATATATATATATATATATATATATATATATATATATATATATATATACATATATACACACATGCATATATTTATATAAATGTGTATGGCATTAAGGATTTGTTACTTCCGGGCATGAGTCAAATTTTCCAGGAAGTGTGTCCATCGGGCAAATCTGCCTTTGGGCAAATAAGAGCATATTTTAAATATTCAACATGTACATTTAAAAAAATCTCCGACTGAAATAGACCGCTACTTTAAATCTATGGGAATATAAGTTCTATAGCGATCTGTTTGAATCTTCGAGAAGCTTTTTAAGTTGTATGGGTATGCTATATTTTTAAACAAAGTATTATCAATTTAACCAATCCCATTGCAAGATATTCATTTTGAGTTTTTAAAAATACAAAATTTAAAGACCAAACTGATTTAGAGCCTGAGTTAATTGTTTCTAAACGTTTGCCAACTTATTTCAGAGCCATCAAATAATTTGAAATTGTGTCAATACCTTCACGTTTAATGTACTACATAAAAAAACCCATTGTTTTCATAGTAAATTATTAAATATGATCTCATCCCCCTTTAGCACGCGTACCGTTGATTGGCGTATTAGTTATTGAAAATTCAGTTTATTTTCTTAACTGGATGTAGAAATTTTTTACTCCACGCCCTCCCCTGGGTGATAGCATTAAACCGTTCACAATCCAATTAGTAACGATGTTATCAGTTTCCGTTTATTAATATAGCTGAATGTTTTCTTCATATTTAGCAAGTCTACGTCATGGTGTTAACCCGCTCACTTCCTTTTGTCGTGATTAGTCGTTTTGTACTACATATAAACTATTTAACTCTAATTAACCGTTAATTCTTAATTAAACTGGGAAAGCATTTCCCCTATATACTTGCACTTTTTTTTGACTTGGTGCTAACCGGGCGTCACGCGTTGCAGTCAGCATCCCCACCCGCACTGTGATGACATTGCTGATATGCAGGTATATAATATTTATATTTGAGAAATCCAATAACCAAATGCAATGTTACATCTATGTTACTACCTACCATGAGTCCAGTACGACAATCCAATTCCTTTTCTGTATCCACTGTGATAGTAATCGTAGTACATTAAGGGATACAACTTGATGTGAAGCTCGTTGCCGGATGACCTCACAATGCCTTGAGGGTATGGATAAGGATAAGGCTGTCCATAGAAAATAGCAATCATGTTCGCGCTGTCGTTTCTCCCATCATAAATCTCAACAAAACCAGGTTTGTTTCGGTAATCGTTTGAATAGAGGAACAAATCCAGCATATGGAACCTGCATCAAATAGTTAATAAGAAAGAAAAATATTACAAGACGTGTTTACTGCAAGTAGACGTTATAAAAGTAATAATAATCATTTTGGGGTTCGTAGTGAATTATTGTACTCATGTTTTTATGGAACGAGCCTTCATTCCCACCCGCACATTGCGTATCAGTATCACTAATTGAAAATGTAAGAAGTAAAATTAATTGCACCTGTTCTGTAAATACAGTGTTGAAGCAAAAGTTTAATCGGAATCTTCACAAACAAAACCATTTACTAGTGATATAAATTGATCCAGGTTTATAGGTGCTTTTGTTTTTTGACAGTTTTAAGGTATTGAATGCTTTTTTTTTCTTTCACATATAAGTTTTATTGTTCATTGTGATGAATATCTTAGGAAAAATGGTCAATGCACTCAATTTAAAACTTTTGTTTTTGCCTTGATAAAGCTATAGGATAATACACTCATGGCAGCGTGGTAAAACTATCTGCATTCAGAATTTGTGGCAACTTTATCGGTTTTGTGTATTTGCAATATATTATTATTATTCGAGTGAATGTGCATAATAGTTAAGCATACATTAGAACTTGTTTTGGATATATGTGTTAAAGTGTATCAAACATACGCAATTAGTTTAAAAATTCAATGCACATTAAACTTATATTTCATTGAAAGTTTGTACATATTTAATATATTTAGGATTCTGTCAGAGCTACTGTTAATTTGTTTGGAAGTTAAGGGGGGGGGGGGTCCTTTTTGGCATCCCGTTCTTATAAGTAATGAAGTCAATTTTGTGGCGATGTTTAACGAACGAAAAGGGACGAAGGAATAATGTGTCAGAAGATTAACAATAACAATATGCTAATTACTCCGGTCAATTTCCAATCCCCACACTAGGGCCAGTTATACTCCTGTACATTACCCAACCCAAACAACTGCAGTCGGACATCACACCCAACCAATTACAAACCTGTCATTTAGAAAGATGGGAGACAATGGTAAAAAAAAGATTAAGAACATGTTAGGAATAGATTAGTGTAAGTATAAGAATAAGTGTAAGCATGAGTGTAGGTGTAGGTGTAGGTGTAGGTGTAGGTGTAGGTGTAGGTGTAGGTGTAGGTGTAGGTGTAGGTGTAGGTGTAGGTGTAGGTGTAGGTGTAGGTGTAGGTGTAGGTGTAGGTGTAGGTGTAGGTGTAGGTGTAGGTGTAGGTGTAGGTGTAGGTTACTTGCAATTTCAGCTTTAACTTACGTAATCAAGATGTGGTGCCTCTATTTCCGGATTATAAAATACCAATAACTTAAGTACCGTTTCAGTTAGATTTACGTAATTCCCGTATACCGGAAGTAGTATTTTACTCTCTTTCCGATGTAACAAATAAAACATCATTTGATAATTTTATATCGAAGTTGTCGAAGTGCTAAGAATTTTTCGCCTCTGTGTGTTTTCTCGAAAAACGAGCGATTTAGTGACAAACGTGTATTTCATCTATAAACCTATTCCACTGGAAGTGCCATCCCAATTCTTATCATTATTTAACAATGTACGAGAAAGTTAAGATCAATCTCGCTTAATTTTTACTTTCTCGTGTAATGAGATTAGATAAAGTATTGTAATCTTGCAGAAAAAGAAAATCGAGATTTTTGCAAATCTCTCTGAGTCGGAAAAACATAGTTTTGCAATCTTGTCCGTATGTCTCTTTCTGTGTGTGTATGTGTGTGTGTGAATGTGCGTATGTGTCTGTGAACACGATAACTTGAGTACCGTTACAGCTAGGTTGATGAAATTTCATATAAAAGTATTATATCAAATTTGTAGTTCCGTAACAACTTTTCAGCGATTTCCGATAACCGAAACTGGACTTATTCTACTTTCAATTTTTCAAAATCCTATAACTTGAGTACTGTTTGGGATAGATACATGAAATTTCACACGTAACTATCCAATTCTGTCAATATTTGAGTAATTTCCGTGAACCGGAATTAGTAATATACGCTGTTTCCGACTTCTCAAAAAACGCATGTGAATTTATAAGGTAAGCCTACTAATAATATTCCGCACTATTATACACAGATTTTTTGGCGTTCACTTGGTGCGCAATTATTTTTTCTACGAGATGTTATCTTAATACTACTAAAACTCAAGTTTGTTTACATGTTTGAATATTTATTTGGTTTTTTTTTGTTTGTCTGATTGGCTAATGGAGAGAACCTGCTCTATGTATAGAGCTGTAAAATAGTATGTAGGTAGAGAACAATTTTTGTTGTCAGACAGACTGTTAATCACAAATTTATTTAAAGACGTTTATTAATTTATTGGTATATTTATTGGTAGATTAACCACATTAATTTTAAAAGTTTAGAAAAACGACTTTACTTTGAGTGAATAGTGACGTCACATGATTTGTTTACTTTTTAGTACAATAAATGGCGGATCCAATACAAGATTTCGTATCTTATTCAGATCTTTAACGCGTTATAAAGCTAATTTTCTGTCGGCTATAACTTTAACAATACGTCCGTCTGCTGTGTTTAGTATAATTATTATAAATTATATAAATTTTCAACTGTCTTTTTCATTTAGTTTTACAATAAATTTCTCTAGCTCTAAAATCTGCCCAAGATATTTATAGATCTAGATCTAGAATCTAGGTCAAACCAAAGATTAGTTAGTTAAAATTACAATCCATTTTGAAAACCTTATTCATTTTGAGTTTCTTTATTAAACTACTTTAGTCCTTAAATACTTGATATAAATCTTTGTGATTTATCTATCTAGATCTAGCAAGAGCTACGCAAAAACTAGACCTAAGCAAACCAGTCGTAGAATATAGATAATTCTCTCTAGATTTAGATAATAATGAGTTTCTATATACTAAACTATTTCAGACCTTTATTATTTATATAATCTTTATTTGTTTAGCTATGGTATTGGCTAATTTAATATAAAATTTAATTTCAAAGCTACTAGACTTAGATCTAGATCTAGAGATAGGGCCTATGCGCGTAAATCAAGTTGCATAAGGAGACTCAAAGTATTATTATATCGCACAAAAAACATCTGTGACGTCACTAGTCTAGATAGCTAAGTTGTTAGTGTAATAGGCTTTCATGCGGGTGGCACTGGATCTAGACACATCACGTCAATATTAAAAAAAAATAATTGAATTAGTTTGTTTTTTTAGATGTGAATGATAAAGTTGCCTTTCTGAACTTGGCGGGATACATTGCAGGTGAAGTAGAGTTCATCTGTTTCTTTGCCCCAATATATGAAGGGATAGTGTGGTCAGAGACATGCTAGGCCGGAATCGTTTTTTTAAACGATAAAAACATGTTGTCTGAGACTTTGCGGGACACTGGGCAGGTGAAGTAGAGTTGAGTACGTCACCTGTGACTGTCAGTATATGAATGGATAGTGTGGTCAGACCTATGCTCAGCCGAAATCGGTGTTTTTAAAAGATAAAAAACGTCTTTTGAAAGTGGGGTCTGGTTATTTTGTGATGATAAGTGACAGACGTGATGGCATTTATGGATGGCCCCCAAAACCAACAGTTATCCAAGGGATGACCGGGTAAGTCTAGTTCTTTTTTTAAAAAGTTCAAGAAATTAAAAATGGATTAAAAATCATGTCTATATCCCGAGGTGCCGTCCCCCGTAGCGTTATTTAAGAATATTTGAGAAAGTTTAAGGGAGATCGCTTCCGGTTTATTTAAGGTAACTTTAATGTCAAAATTGAAGAGAAAGTTTTATTCTTTAATACTATATTTAATTAATTATGAACGGATTGAAACACGGGTAAGGATTTATCTTAATTATAAAAATAAATTTCGGTTAACATTAATTCTATTGAAAAATGCCTGTACTTACTTTAACGAAATGACCTGTCCTTTCTCTGCTTGTATTGTCCAAGAACACAGAAGATAAATACTTGTTGAATGGTACCATCTATAATAATACGTTTCGATACTACCTGCCGACTCCGTTAAGGTTTTACCGCAAGCTGCAGGAATGCAGAACCGTTTGTTTTAATAGTTAGTATTAATATAAATAGGCGTGAGGTAACAGATATGTCGTAAATTTTTTTACACGTGTCAGAGATGTGTCAGACGTCTAATCAAATGCCACACCCACTATTAACACATTTATGTAACATGTAGTTATGGAAATTTGTGAAGTTAAAATGGAAAAGTCTAAATAGTTTCAATTTTCCAGAAAGCTTGATATTAGAAAGGTGAATGCTTATTGTTACATTATCAGATACGAGACTATGTTAAATTATTGCATTTTAGAATGAAGCATCAAGATCATAAGCTAGTTTTTAATATTGGAAACAATTATATTACAAATCTAACGATATTCTAAATATATGATGAGCTCCAGCCAATCAAACACATAACCTACCATCACAGTGTGTCTGGTTCACAATGTCATGGTTCACCAAACAACGACACTCGAAAGATCCATGTGTGTTATCGCACATTGCATTTTCTACTGATTCAATACACGGAGGCCTCGGCAGATTGCATTCATCTACATCTTCAGTACACCAAGTCGAAGTCCAGTTAGAGTAACAGATACAATGGCCATTGGTCTTGTCACATGACTTTGTGTTTAACTGATCGCATCTACACCAGTTGGAGCAGTTTTCTCCGTAAGTCCAGTCATCACAATCTGTAATCATTTTGTTTGAGCTATTGCTATTATAATTATTTTAAATATTATCAACATCGCCAGATAATATAAATATAAAAAATAATATATATATCTGTTTTCAAATGTAATGTAGTGTAAGAAAAAATATTTTGCACAAAATTACACGGCTTTTTTATGTTGATATGAAGAAAAAATCAAAACTAATATTTAACTAACATGCGTAATGCCTAGACTTTATACATATAATATTTTTCTAGTTAAATCTGATTAATAACATTTCAATGTAGGAGTAAAGTTTGTTTCCTTGTTTCATAAAAATATAATACAAATATAAGAACTAAAATTTCAAGTAAAAACAACAGACGACATATTTTTTATGGATATAATACATTAGCTACCTACCAACACAGGTGACATTGTCTTCAGGATTCAACCTCATGCCTTTAGGACAATAACAGTCCTCAGTTCTTGGGTTGGTTGATGTGACACCGCAGAAATGCGAACACTTCTTTTGGGTACAGTCTTTGGGATCTATTGGTTTCATTTGTACATAATTGTGGAAATCAAACGTTTTTAGTTTATGCATATAATTTCATGAATAAAATTTATTTAACTGTAAAAGTCGAGCATCTATCTATCGAAACGTGGCATTCAACAAGGGTTAGGATTAGACTCACATTAAAGTTCATCTATCTAAACGTTTAGTATAACAACTCTGTGACATTCATCAAGGCAGACCCAAATTAAAGTTTATCTATCTAAACGTGTAGTATAACCACTCCGTAAGTAGGTTTTCTTTAGAGCCTAATTAACTGAAAGACGCAATGTCGCATTTTGATATTTAAACCCACCTGAACATTGTCCTGCACTATTAAGAGTTAGTCCAGGTTTACAGTCACACCTGTAGCTGCCAGGTGTGTTGACACAAACAGAGTACAGGTCACTGCACAGGTTTGGGTCATCGCATTCATTGATGTCCACAGAACAGTCCACAGATAACCAGCCGTCTTTACACACGCAGTTGCCGTTGTAGTTGACACAGTAAAGGGAGTTGTTTTGGTTACAGATACAGGAAGTGTTGCAGCTCTCTAATCCGTAGTTGAAAGGTGGACACTCTTAGAAAAACACGTTAAAATTATGACATAACATCATACAAACACTCACTTTTGCTTGCGCATCAGTGGCGTCATTATGTCGAGTGTCGCACAGATCAGTAACTCATGTTGTCATCCACCTCAAAGAAAACTATATATATATATATATATATATATATATATATATATATATATATATATATATATATATATATATACATACAAGTATTTATAATTGGTATTAGTATGTGTATATACATTTTTATATTTTGCTTATAAAAGTTATTTTTAAAAAATTGAAGCTTCTCATTTTTTGGACTTAATTACCACCGATATTTTAAAATGTTTTTAGCTTTCAATTGTCTTTTAAAATATTTGATATTTTTAATCGAATTGTTACATAATTTAACCTATTCCATTGCAAGGTATACATACATTTAGAACTACCAAAATGTCAAATTCAAAAATCCCTCTGCGATATTTTCTCTCTCAGTTACCCACCCGAAATTTTTCCTCCCAGCTATCATTGTATTATCTATATATCTATATACTACTAAAACTCAAGTTTGTATTTTTGTTTTGTTGCATTAGTGTAAGCCCTGCTAAGGGGGATACCTAAAATCTATACTTCTAGGCTTATCTAACTAACTACTGTCCGGTCAGTGCAAGCCCGGATAAACCCAGACTGGTTAATAATCTAACCTTAGTCTAAATAATAAAACTACTAAAAATAAAACAAAACTTTAACAATATAATAACATTTATTTAACAAAAATATGGAACCAAAACTTACATAAAAATAACTAAATCTCTAGAATCTAGATCTAGACAAAACAAAACAATTTATATACAACAAAACAGAACTCAACGAAACAAAACAATTTATATATAACAAAACTCCCAATTTCGGACTACGTCACAAAATAATAAGAGCTAGATGATGTACTTTATACTTGATGGGAAGAGGAACGCCTTCGCCCTTACCTCATCGCTTCAGCACACAAAAAGACATTACGTAGAAAACATTACGTACAAAACAATATATACCAAACAAACTTCACGCGTGAGGTGTGCCACGCGCCCACGCAGAAACCGACCCTATCTATATCATGCCTCGGGTCAAAAGAAAGAAAATTATCCGAGCGGTCAATTTATATACTGACCGCTTCGGACGGAAGGGGAACCCCGTCCGCTCCCCATTGGATCATCCACTCGCAGATTCGCACCAAATAAAATAATACAAAATAAATAATCCATTCACCCGCTCACATTAGGTAGAGCTGTGAAATACGTATTTAGGTAGAGAATAATTTTCTTTTTAACAAAACTGTAAATTACAAATTTATTTAAAGACGTTAATTAATTTATAGATATATTCATTGGTAGAAACACCTCTTTAATTATAAAAGTTCAGAACAATAACTTTAGTTATAGTGACGTACATGATTCATTTACTTTTTACAACAATTCATGGCGGCTTCATGGAAGATCATGTTGTCCATTCAAAAGTGTAACGCATTATAAAGCTAAATTTTCTGTCGGCTATAGTTTTAACGATACGACCGTTTGCTATTTTTATTCGCTTCCAACACTTTTCAACAGTTGTTCTAATATGAGTATACAATATATTTCTCTAGATCTACAGATAAGCTGCCGGAGGAAAGGAAAGATATAAATCTAGAATGTAGATCTAAAATCTAAGTCAAACCAAAATTAATTAGTTCAAAATAAAAACACAATAAATTACTGATTTTCTTTATCATTCCTTAAATATTTGATATAATCTTTGCTTTTTAGCTTCAAGGATAATCTAATTCGACAATACAAGGGATTTGTCTATCTAGATTCTAGATCTAGAGCTACGCAAAAACTAGACTTAAGCCATCAATAGATTTTACATCAAGATCTAGCTCTATCTAGATCTACAATCTATGTCAATAATGAGTTTCTATACAAAATTATTTCAGGCCTTAATTATTTTATATAGATCTAAATCTTTATTTGTTTAGCTATTGGAATTAAATACAATTTAATTTGAAATTAATCGGGAGCCGGACGTTTTCACGAAAGACACTTGCCCGAATGCGTCACACGCCCGAATGGACTTGCACGAATGCGACAAATGCCTTAATGGACACTTGCCCGAAAGCGACAAATGCCGCAAAGCCACTTGTCCGAAGGCCGTTTGCCCGAATAATTTAAATATTAAATTAAAAAAAAAAATATTACCAATTAGGCATACTCAATCAATTCAAGTTTGATAATCATCATAGTTCCAAGCAAAAAAAAACAACAACAAACAAACAAAACAAAACAAATTTGTTTATATTTTTACAAGCTTTTATTTAACTCAATTCCTCTGTCGTCAGTCTTTCGGCAGTAGATCGAAACGCCCGAGCGAAATTAAAAGCACTTCTAACTGACAGATACTATTCGTAGTTGGTACGTGGGTCAAGATATGAAGACAATGCATCACGACATTGGAGTTCACTTAATTGGATGCCTAATTAATTTTTTTATCAGTTAATTAAAATTTTTGATCAAATTAGTAGGCAGTCTTATCCAACTACTCAACACTATTATACACGCGTTATCACGTTCAATAGCGCGTCATCACGTTCAATTGGTGCGCAATGGTTTTTAGTCACGTAACTCTAGTGTAAATACAACATGTAAAGTACTAAAAAAAATTCATAAAAAAACGTTTTAATAACAAGCTTTTATGTAATAATGCACTAAAAAGGAGAAAATAAATTATAGACTACTATTTAAATAACAATAAAGAAAAGCGTGGGTCTCTTCCTAAACATTAGTAAAGGTATGCAATAGATACTAAAGTGACCCACGCTTTTCTTTATAGTTATTTAAATAGTAGCCTATAATTTATTTTTTCCTTTTTAGTGCATTGTTACATAAAAGCTTGTTATTAAAACGTTTTTATGAATGTTTAAAAAAATATTTAGCTTTTATTTTTTACTTTCTCGGAAATACGAAGTATAAAAAAGTATTGTAATCGTGCAAAAACAAATCGAGATATTTGCAAATCTCGACGTTTTAGGGCTCCCTGAGTCGGAAAAACATAGTTTTGCAATCTTGTCCGTATGTCTGTTTGTATACGTTCCTGTGTGTGTGTGTGTGTGTGTGTGTGTGTGTGTAAACACGATAACTTAAGTACCGTTATAGCTAGGTTGATGAAATTTCATATATAAGTATTATATCAAAATCGTAGATCCGTGTCAACTTTTGAGCGATTTCCGATAACCGGAAGTGTTACTTTTTCTACTTTGAATTTTTCAAAAGTCTATAATTCTCTACCTTCTGTCAAATTTTGAGTGATTTCCGTTGACTGAAAGTAGAAATTTACGCTATTTCCGATTTCTTTAAGAAAAACGAATTTAAATTTATAATGGACTAAAAATATTACGCACATTTTACTTGGCGTTCACTTGGTGTGCAATTCTTTTTTCTACGAGATTTTATTCTATTTTAAAAAGTTTTTTTAAGTAGCCTATTTATAATGGTTTAAAAATCATGTCTATATCCCGAGTTCCCATCCCCTGTTGTTTTATATAAGAATATTTGAGAAAGTTTAGGGGAGATCACTCCCGGTTTATATAAATATGAGAAAAACTGCTTTATTCTTTAATAAATGTAAGGTGATGTTTGGCGGCGGTGCCTTAAAATTCTTTAGATGAATGATTTGAACACCGTGTTAAGCCGACGTGTTGCCGTTGTTAGATAGCGATTATAACACGGTGTAGGCGGCGCGGCGTCTCGCAACATTGAATAGATTACTGTTGAAGTGATTACTTAATAAAGCAAGTGCGATTCATTTTAAAAACGTTTAAAAAAACTTTTGTACACTTTTTATATAGCAAATAAACATTTATTAAGAATTTCTGCGTGGTAATTTATTATATTAATTATTTTCCCTTTATTTTTGTTTTGATGCGTATTATTTATCAAAATGTCAAATTTAAATTGATGACTATTTGGTAATATATAGTGTTAACATTTTTCGGGCAAACGGCCTTTGGGCTAGTGGCTTTCGGGAATTTGTCCCATTCGGGCAAGTGTCAATTCGGGCATTTGTCGCATTCTGGCACGTGTCCATTCGGGAAATCGGCCTTCGGGCAAAGGCATTCGGGCATGTGTCTTTCGGGATTTAGACGTAGACCCGAAATAATCGGAAGTGCCTAGATAGCTGAGATGTTAGTGTAATAGTTACCATTCGAGACACATCACGTTAACGTTATATTTTTTCCAATTCTTTCAATTTAAAAATAAAATGTGAATGATAAAGTTGCCTATCTGGACTTGTTTAAAAATGTTTATTTTACTCACCATGAGCCCAATAGGAGCCACTAAACCCGGGCCGCGAACCTGACCAATCAGACTGGAATCTCACGTGCATCTGGTTTTTTGTGGACCTAATGACAATGTTTGGGAGTATAGATTCGTCCGGGTACCCACAAAAGTATCCCTCAATTCTAGAAAACTGTGGACCGGGACCGTCAAAAAACTGGACGTGGTCTATGCAGCGGAACTCAGACTCTCGTTCCAAGTTCAGACTTGTAAATCTTGAAAAAAAAGTTGTGTGAACACAAGTTAGCTTCAGAGGTGAATAATTTACATTTATCCTATGAAACATTTGGCCGGATCTCTGTTTTGATGTTTTGACGAAACATCACTAATACTAAATCGTCAAGCGAAAATTAATATGTGAATACTAGTCTATAAAACGTATGAGATTGTTTGGCAACCACATACCTGAAAGCGACAACCTGTCCTTCAGCCACTGTGATTGTCCAGCTACAGATGGCATCGTTAGGGTAGGAGTCGGGGAAGTTGGGGGAGAGAATCGTGCCAGCCTGGTCGGTTAAAAGACCACCACAGTCTAGAAACATGGAGATCACGTATTTAGAATTAACAAACCCCACCCCATACGTCTGTTCAATATTCTTTAGAAATCGATACATTTATGACATGTTGTCGTGAAAATAAAAGTGCACAACACAATAATATGTACAGGTTGTGGCAGTATATAGAAGTGCAGTTTAATCTAATATGATGAATACACAAATTAATCATATATATATATATATATATATATATATATATATATATATATATATATATATATATAAAGCTACGAGAGACGACTACATAAACACCTGATAAGGTGATATATGAACTAGTGGTAAAAATAATTAACCATGACCTGTAACATCTTTAAACCAACACTAACCGTTATTTAAATCTTGACCTACCTGTGTAGCAGGCGACAAAGCTAGACTGTGCCAATAAAACACCCACCAGAACAAGGCGAGGTAGTAAACGCATGTCTCTAATACCCGCCGTGCTCTGTGGATATCATGAAAACATTTCATTTTTGTTAATTTTGTTTTAATATATGATCCGTGGATTTATACATATTTGCATTCAATGAAAATTCAAATTTTTAACTGATATATAATGTAATAAAACTTTAATTTTAATTTTATAAAAAGTCAAGAGTTGATACATTAAACAGCGAAAGGTTGATTATATACAATACACAAATTTGATATATTGTCTTCTTTTGACAAGTCAAAAGTCAATGTTTAACAACAAGGAAGCTTAAAGCGAGCAGGCACGCATTTCTTGCTTTACAACAGTTGTGGACATAAATAAAACACGTTCATTTCACAAACATCTACCTACATTTCGAATTTATAAAATACAAGCGTTCACGGACGTTTATTAAAGGTCAGTTAAATTACGCATTGTAATTCGCGTAGTGATTTGTCGTTTGATTTCAGTTCAGGCAGCTCATTTGAATTGCTAAAGAAAACCTTTTAGTCTTCGTCATTTACATATAAAAAAAAAGCTGATTCAGTTTTTGAACTAGCGGCATATAGAGGTGGCTTTTCTGTTTCTGTGACATAAAAAAGAGATAGATTGATCAGCTCTATGTCCAGCCGCAAGTACGGAACCTATGAGATATAGGTGGACTCACGGACTCTAGCCCGTGATCTAGGACTAGCAATAGTGCGCTCTACCGGCCCACCTCGCCGTGACATGGAACATACGAAAAATATCCCGATAATCTCAAGATCTGTAAGTGATCAAGCCCCAATGCTTATAGCGAACTTTTCAGAAACTGTGATATTTACATTATGGACTTTCAGAAGTTAAAGCGCACTTTTCATTGCTTACTGTTGTTTGTAATAATATAATTTATTTTATCTTAATTTTGAATAGTCATACTTTTCAAATACAGCTTCATACCTTTTTAATCACGGTAATATAGTAATTTATTCCTGGGATTAAAATTCACTGAAAATAAAGACCCTGTTACACAATGAAATGTACACGAGACTAAAGATGTATATCTAAACTACCTTATCCAGTATCGCACCCCTTATTTATATACCTCTATAATCACGCACACTAAAACATATTTACGTGTAAATCACATAGAGGTGTGGCGATTAATTACTTAGTTGACAGCCAGGAAGGTTGTGTATCCTGTATCAACCTGTTATTCCAAGAACTAAAGTCAAGTACTTTCGCTGTACGGGTTTAATGTTGTTTTTACTGCTTCACTGTATTGGTTTAATGTTGTTTTTACTACTTTCGAAGATAACACCCAATGTTGTTGAAGTTGCATATAAAGCACATTGGCGTAGTAACACCTTATTTAACTTCCCGGATTCACTCTGTTCTGATGTTAACTTCATGCATAGCCATTTCAAAATAAGACTTTAGCCATCAACAGTTTCTTTAACTGCTCACTGTGGTATAACTAGACATTCATTAGGCCACCTCTTTAGTTTTTCTCTGTATGCCCACTGTGGTAAACCTAGACAATATTCTGTATGCCCACAGTGGTAAACCTAGACAATATTCTGTATGCCCACAGTGGTAAACCTAGACATTATTCTGTATGCCCACTGTGGTAAACCTAGACATTATTCTTTCTGCCCTTTATGTGGTATCGCGTAGCCCTCTCCTGGATATGCCCCTGACTGACGCAGTAAAAAGATAACAGCTGACATTTATTAGTGACAGGGTTAAACGGTATGTCCCGATTTCCCTTATCGTAACAACCCCCACCCCCCAGTACCAAACTTAATTCCTGATTTAATCAAGGTAACAAACTATCTTAGACTTTATGGCACTATACCAATAAATTAAGATAAGTCCTTTATCTTATTTTTTAAATATGTCATACGTAAATGCTGTTTTTGCATGTAGGTGGACGGGGTGGTTGCTTGCTAAAGCAAATTCCCTTAGTTTGACTTACAGGGGTAGATGAAGTTCGTTAGCTGGGAACAGCAACCCACCAAGGAAATCTCCGAAATAAAACAAGAGTGAAGCCCCGTAGGTGATGGGATTTTCTATTAGCAGCTTCTGAAACCAAGGTGGTTTCTTTCGTTTGGGTTCAACCATGTCGAGAGATGGGTTTTGCTGCATTTGTCACTCGTCCGTTACCCTGAGGATTTTACTTACCTAAGTGCAATCACTGTCTCCTGAAGAAAAAAAAGAAGTTAAACTTATTTGTACTCTCATGGCTTTACAACCAATATATACACAATACTAACCGTTTCAATATATAATACACCGATTTAATACATTCTGTAGTCTAGTCTTAGTAAATATGTACTTAGCGTTAAATCATCGTAAACAACTTCCTTGTTGCATCAATAATAAAGGTCATAAATATTTACTAGCCCGTAGTCCACATAGAACAAACCAATTCGCAACTTTAAAAGTGTCTGTAATAAATTTTTATGTTCTAGTGTTTACATTAAGTAAACACATGACCAAAACATGTTTTATATTGTTTATGTAATTGAAACACTTTGTTTATGTGTAGTTAAGGCTTTGGAGGCCGTCGTGGTCGGGTCGGTATAGCTCATGGCGGCTGAACCAAAAAGTACGAAGTTCGAACCCCCGGGTAGATGAGGCAGCTGGGGACTCAAAAAACAACAACAACAACAACTCCAAAATCAATATAACTTACGCGCCGACCCGCAGCGTATCATACGCCGCTATTTAGTTGTTTTATTTTCTACTTTTCAGTAATTCATAATTTGTGAATTCGACAGTACCAATGCTGCCACTGAAAATATTTGCTTTAAAACACTACCCCCCCCCTTTCCCCTAACCCCGACCCTACCCCCCCCCCCCGTGAAAGCAGTTACCTTAGTTACCTCCTGTAAGTTTAAAATCGAACTAAATTATCTGCCCCTAATAGAAACCCGGCTCTACGATTTGTAAACATTTAGCTTTGTAAACATTTAGCGTGACCACAGCTCACCAGACAATGTGGGGGTGGGGTGGGGGTGGTAGTGATAGTGATAGAGAGAAAGAGAGGGGACTGCAAGGAGGCGCTTGCAGCTTGTTTTCTACCGGCTCCCAGAAGAGAATTATATATATAGATGCTAACTGGGTATGATTGGGTGTATGACCTTCCAGTAAAGGTCACTTGCGGGGGCGCAAGAGTTCCTAAATGAACCCCAAAGGTCACGTGTTCGTGACCATGGCAAGCCACTTGATGGAGGCATCCGGCTGTGTTCAGGCATGGAATGGGTGGGCGCCACCATGCAACACTTAGCTTATACTCTAGTCTAGTTAACGATTCCGAGACTTTCGATCGCCGGAAACTGTAGTCTACCATCAACCTCATTTCAATGGCTTTCTTTCATTACTTTACGAAAGCAACTATCTACTTCACTTTAGACTTTCAATGGCAACCATCTATCTCAGTAAAATGGCTTTCTCCTATTGTTTTACAATGTTTCAATCATTACTATCAACAATGGTCCGCCCCTATTCGTGTTAGGGCAAACTCTCATGCGTGATTAAAGACGTTTTGACAACACAAAGACGTAACACAAACATGTCTTCGATCGATTGACCACACAACGACGTAAAACAAAACTTGCCAACAATCTATTGACACAATGATGGACTCTGATAAAGTCCTAGCTTCTAATTAATGCAAAAGTTATTGATTCGTTATACTCAGCTTCAAGCAGTTGGAAGTATTTTAAAAATACATTCAAATATTTTTATTTTAACATCTATCTAGTTAAGTGTTTTCCAAACAAGCTACGTTGAAAAATATATTGTTTTTATATAACTACTAGCAATCGGTAGCCGTTACACGGGCAATTCTGGTGACTATTCGCTCTCTTCTCTTTACTAATAGGCCACCCGGTTTTTCTTTTAGACCTTTATCTCCGGGGAACGGCATTTAAAACTGTCCGGAGGATGGTGTGGGGGATGCATGTGCGTGGGGGGGGGGGGGGGGGGGGCGCGGTTGGGGGTAGAGGATACTGGTTTTTCTATATTTTTTAATGAATTACTTTTTTAAATTTCGTTCGGATGTAAAAGAGAAAGAAACGGTAGAGATGAATGAAGAAAATGTATATATCTACGGAAAATGAGTAATGAAAGGAATTGTAATTCAGCTTTTAAAAAAGTGATTTTTGGAAACATAGGAAAATAAACGTTTTATTGATCAAGAGCATTGGAATGAAACATTGTTAAGATTTTGAAAAAAAGTTTTTTTTTTAGAAATACGCTGTCTATGTTTATACTTGTTTAAAATAACATAGACTAACAATACCTATTAGAAAAATTAAAACCAAATTATATACAGTATTAGTCAACAAAATACCATATTTTAAAATTAAGAGACTGAAATGATTTCGCTAAAAACCCGGCTGTTTTTTGTTGCTTTTGTTTTTTAAAAACACCAATTTTGGTTGAGTATGGGTCTGACCAGTCTATCCCTTCATATGCTGAGAAGACAGAAACGGGTGAACTCTACTTCACCTGCCCCGTCTCCCGATAAAAAACAAAACAAATTGAAATAAAAATGTAAGATTCACAAGTTGTGTCTCGAACATGTACCACCCGCATGGTATCAATTTCATTATCGTCTGATCTATTTAGGCACATTAACTTTCATGCAGAATAAAAGAGATACTTCAGAAACTTACGCGAATAGGCCCTATTAGCTATCTATCTATATACTGCTAAAAGTCAACTTTGTTTACATGTTTGAATATTTATTTGTTTGTCTGATTTGCTACTGGAGAGAATCTGCACTATGTGTAGGGCTGTAAAATAGTATGTAGGTAGAGAACAATTTTTCTATTCAGACAGACTGTTAATCACAAATTTATTTAAAGACGTTAATTAATGTATTGATTTATTCATAGGTAGATTAACCACATTAATTTTAAATTTTTTATACAATTGCTTAACTTTGACTGAATAGTGACGTCACATGCTTTGTTTACTTTTTATTACAATAAAATGGCGGCTTTCATCATAGACTTTGTGGCCCATTCAAAAGTTTAACGCGTTCTAAAGCTAATTTTCTGTCGGCTATAGCTTTAACAATACGTTCGTTTGCTGTTTTTATTACGTTCCAACACTTATATAAATTTTCAACTGTATTTTTTACAATAAATTTCTCTAGCTCAACAATATGTCCAAGAAAGTTATCTATTTGTTTATACATCTAAAAATAAGGTGGCCAAGAAAGTTATTTATAGGTCTAGATCTAGAATCTAGGTCAAACCAAAGATTAATTAGATTCCAACCAAAGATTAATTAGATAAAAATACAATCCATTTTAAAATCATAATACGTTGTTTTAGTCCTTAAATACTTGATATAAATCTTTGTGATTTATCTATCTAGATCTAGATCTATCTAGAATAGGTCTAATCTAGATCTAGCAAGAGTTACGCAAAAATTAGACTTAAGACTTAAGCAAACGAGTCGTAGAATCTAGATCTAGATAAATCTATGTAGATTTAGATAATTTCAGACCTTCATTTTTTAATATAAATCTTTGCTTAGCTATGTAATTGGCTAATTTAAGATAAAATTTAATTTTAAGGTTACTACTACTAGACTTAGATCTAGATCTATGCGCGTAAATCAAGTTGCATAAGGAGACTCAAAGTATTAAGTATACCATAAAAAAACATCAGAGACTTCACGAGTCTAAATAGCTAAGTTGTTAGTGTATTAGGCTTTCATGCGGGTTGCACGGGTTCTAGACACATCACGTCAATATTAATTTTTTTTTTTCATTTTTTTTCAATTTTTTAGATGTGAATGAAAAGTTGCCTATCTGAACTTGGCGGGATACAGGGAAGGTGAAGTAAAGTTCATCTGTTTCTTTGTCCTAAGCATATGAAGGGATAGTGTGATTAAGTACATGCTCGGCCGGAATCGTTTTTTTTTTTAAACGATAAAAACATGTTGTCTGAAACTTGGCGGGACACTAGGCAGGTGAAGTAGAGTTGAGTAGGTCACCTGTGACGTCAGTATATGAAGGGATAG